CACGGACAAGGCAGTCATTGCCCTTTCGACTACCAACGCGTCTATCGTTCATGTTCATTCCAGGCACACCTTTGTTCTCCCAACATCCGAGGGCGTCGCTGAGAGTGCGTCTACCCTGCTTTCGACTGCGGCGAGGCTCGTCGCTCAGAGAGTCTTCAATGGCATCGCTTCCGGCGCGTCGGTTCTCGTTATGGAGCCGCCAAGCTTCTGCGTCGAAGCCATCATCGAGGCAGGGAAGAGCAGAAAAGTGCAGGTTCACCTCGCGACAACGAGAGCCTCCTTATCGTCCTCGCTACCATGGATCAGGTTGCACTCCCTGGAGACCGATGCAGGAATCAGGAAGGCTCTGCCAGGGAGCCTCTCAGCCTATTATGATTTCTCGGACGAGAAGAGCGCCATCACCAGCCTGGGCTCTCGTGTGGCCAGCCTTCTGCCGTCCGTTTGTCTCAGGTTCAGCCGGGGTCACATTTTCCAGAGCTCTGCCGAATCCATCTCTTCTCTTGAGCAAGATGGACTCCAACGACCATTGGTTGAAGAGGCAGTTCTCGCGGCTGCAGCAGAGGTGCCACAAACCACTGCATCTTCTGAAGCCGATGATGAGTCTATCGTGAGATCAGCCCGCAGCATTACTAACCTAAAGGATGCGCTTGCTACCTCTACCATAGTCGATTGGAGAACCGAGACCCGTGTAGCAGCGCGAGTCCGTGCTGTTGACTCCGGCAAGCTATTCTCCCTCGACAAAACCTACCTCCTCGTGGGTCTTGCCGGATCTCTGGGTCGATCTTTGGCTCGCTGGCTCATCACGCACGGTGCCCGCCATGTCGTGATCTCCAGCCGTAATCCCGAGACCCCTGACCCGAAATGGCTGGCAGAGATCGAGAACTTGGGTGGCATCATCACCGTTCTGTCCATCGACGTCTCCAAGGAAGCCTCCATCGATGCTGGGCTCGCTCAGATTCGACAGACGCTGCCACCTATCGGCGGAATCGCCTATGGTCCGTTGGTACTCCACGATGCTCTGCTAGCGAGCATGGACCTTTCAATGATGAATGTGCCCGTCAACTCCAAGGTCGTCGGAGCGCAGATCTTGCATGAACGCTTCTCGAGCCAGGCCAAAAACCCCCTTGACTTCTTCGTCATGTTCTCGTCTGTTGCGACGGTGGGAGGCAACCCGGGCCAGGCCAACTACACAGCTGCGAACTCGTACCTCCAAGCCCTCGCCCAGAAGCGTCATGCTCAGGGGCTCCCCGCATCGACGATTGCAATTGGCGCCGTCATCGGTGTCGGATTCCTGTCGCGTACCGGCAGAGAGGAGGAGTTCAAGCTCGCGTCTGACACTGACACGATCTCTGAAGATGAGTTCCTTACCCTGTTTGCGGAGGCGGTTGTTTCTGGACGACGGACACCAGCCTCTCAGCCGGTGGCCATTACGGACATATCCGACCTTGAGGTGATCACCGGTATTCCCGAGTTCAGCGCGCGCCATAAGGATACCGTCAAGTTTTATGACGACCCCCGATTTGGAAACCTGAAGGTTCCCGAGAGCCGCGCCAACACGGATGGCGCTTCAGGGGCTAAGAGCCCTGTCAAGGAGCAGCTGCTGAAGGCAAGGACATTGGATGTGGTTCGCGAAATCATTATTGGTAAGATCCTTCCCGATAATGCGAGGCATTGGAGAACAAGCAGTTGCTAACTTGGACAACAGATGGCTTGTCGCAAAAGATGCGCGGCATCCTGCATATCCCCGCCGATGAGAAGGTCAATGCTACGACACCGTTGATTGATCAGGGCGTGGACTCGCTCGGTGCAATCACTGTCGGATCATGGTGAGTATCTTTTCGCTTCCATTAGACTGAGGATGTGATGGCTGACGTGAAATTTCCAGGTTTTCCAAGACACTCATGATTGACATCCCGCTGCTGAGAGTTGTCAGCGGTGCCTCAATCGCTGAACTTGCCGAGGAGGCCGCAGGTCGACTCTCAAGAGCCGCCATTCCCCTGATCGAATCCGCCGATGGCATCGTCAGCAGCGAAGATGATAACCGCAGCGGTAGCGACTCGCCCATGGACACGTCAAATGCCACATCGATCTCAGACTTGAGGGGTGACGAAGTCGTCTTGGATGATAAGGCCGCCACCTCGCGCCAGATCCCCTTGTCTCTCACCCAGGAACACTCGTGGAAGCTCCTTCAGCAACTGTCTAGCGAGCCAACCATATTCCACAACACTATTGGGGTGTTCATGAAGGGATCCGTAGACCTGGAGCGACTTGAGAAGGCGCTGAACAAGTCCCTCCGCCGGCATGAGATCTTCCGCACATCATTCTTACCTGAAGGAGAGCAGGTCATCCTGCCTAGCCCAGTCACCCGTGTGCGCTATGTCGAGGTCAGCGATAGGGCCGCAGCAGAGGAGGCATATAAGCAGTTGGAAAATGAAGAGTACGATCTTGCTGCAGGCGAAGGCATCAAGATCGTCGACTTCCACTGGGCACAGGACGAGCATCTGTTCGTCATCGGCTACCACCGCCTGGTAGGCGACGGCTCGACAACCCAGAACTTCCTCGATGAGGTTGGCCAGCTATACGACGGCGCGCAACTTTCGGCGCCGCCACAATACTCCAGCTTCGCCGCGCGGCAGCGATCCGACGTCCAAAGCGGCCAGATGGACGCCGATATCGCGTACTGGACCTCCATGTACAAAACCCTCCCCGAGGTCCTCCCAGTCCTGTCGCTCCCCAATGCCCAGAAGCAACGAGACGCAAGCAACCGCGTCGCCTGGAAGCAGCACGTCGGCACCCTACGCCTAAGCGCGATCCTGGCCTTCCGCATCCGCGAGCGCTGCAAGAAGCTCAATGGTGTGACGCCCATGCACTTTTATCTCGCGGCCTACCACCTGCTCCTCGCGCGCCTCTCGGCAGCAGAGGACGTGGCCATCGGCATCGCCGACACCAACCGCGCCAGCATCCAGGACGTCTCGACCATGGGCTTCTTCGCCAACCTGCTCCCCGTCCGTCTGGCGCCCTTCGAGCCTGCGCAGACTTTCGCCGACGAACTCGTAGCCGTCAAGGAACGCCTGCGGCAAGCGATGCAGCACGCCCGTGTCCCGTACGGCGTCACGCTCGATCGCCTCGGCCTCGCGTCCTCGTCCGCGGAGCTGCCACACGCGCCGCTGTTCCAGGCCGTCTTCGACTACAGGCAAGGTGCCGCGGAGACCGGACGGCTTGGTGGGGCTTCTTTTACCGAGATTTGGGCTTCGCGCGAGCGCACGCCGCACGATGTTGTCCTGGAAATGTCGGACGACCCGGCCAAGGAGCCGCTTGTCACAGTCAAGCTGCAGAGCTATCTGTACGGAGAAGAGGATCCGAAGGCGTTCTTGAGTGCTTATGAGGCGACTTTGACTAGCTTCTCTGAGAATACGAAGCTGGCGGTCGCCAAGGATTGAGGGGTATGCTGGTGTTCTATTAAATAAAGTTCTCGGCTTTGGAGGCCTGATAGAGATCAGTGCCATGTCTTCTTCTTCTTTTTTTTTTAACAATGCCGGCATTAATCGAGTCGTGAAAGTCTGTGAAGACCTTTGATCCAACTCTGATTTGAAGAAGCTGGGCCTTGTCCGATTCGCGTATTCAGCATGCGTCTGACAAGCTGTCTGGCTTGCTCGTTGAACTCATCGACATTGAGACTTCAGTCCATGTCGGGCTGTGCTGAGACCGCGTCGAAAGACACGACTCCTGCCATGGTGCGCCTTCAGTCAGTACACAACCTAAAGTGCAGCAATCGTTACTCTAGAAATAGCCAAAAATAGGCAACGGCAATTGCAATATTGCAAATGACTCTATTGTTGTCAACACTGAAGCCAACTTCCAAAAAACACTCAACCTCCTCATGTCTCCCCACACATAAACCCGCATATCCCACCCAACTCCACAAGTACAATCTCACCTTACCCGAAAGAGGGCTTCCGTCTCCGCAACTTTGCAGAATTGCGCACGAAAAAAAAACCATGTCTGCAAGACTTCATAATCAGGATCTCGACCTAAGCCATCAATCATCCCTGCATCCTAGGATACGGGTGATGCAGGGCTGCTGGCGCAACGGTAGCGCGTTCGACTCCAGATCGAAAGGTTATCCGTTCAAATCGGGTGTGGCTCATTCTCTTTTGTTCATTGTGAAGCTATTCACAGAGATTGTCTTTTTACTGTTGTTGATGAAGGTTTTGGCGATGGTGGTGTGAGTGAGAGAAAGGAGCCTTTTTTTTTTTTTTTGGACGTGGGAGACATGCGGGGAAAATTGGGCTTGCAAAGAGCTTGCCTTCCAGTTATATTTTTGTTCGGCTTGTCCAAGCGCCCAGAAAGGGAACCAATATGTGTCAGGTTCGCAGTAGGACGTATCAAGTAGACCTTCAGCTGAGGAGGTTTGCCTCCGAGTGTTTCTGACGAATCAAGATTTTTTCAGCTGTAGGCAAGTCCTTTTCATTTACCTGAATTCTTTCATTCTCAATTCAGGCTGGTTTCGGGGGAGACGGCCGTGTTCAGTGTGACATTCGACATACAGGAAGAAGAAATCGTGATGTGGGCTCTTCCTCTCCTTGCTCCCCTCATGAGTAGATGACTGATGTTCATCGTCTAGTCTAAGGTATGAAGAAGGCCACAATGGCAGTAGGCTACCTAGGAAGGGAACTGCCTAGACGGATGAATGATGGAAACAGCGCCTCGTGTACCATCTCTGTAAGAAAGATATCATAGAACAAGTTAGGATATATACTCGTAACACTTTATTATGCTCCCAAGACGCCGTTGCTATGTCTGCAAAGACCTTTAAACTCCAAGTATGACCGACAATGCCATCTCCCCTCGTGGCGACCATGGCATGATCTCGTGAGCGCCACCACCCGGGCTGACCGGGGTAGCTGAAATATAATAAACCATAACATGCGTAACAATGCAGAGTCCGCTCTCGCTCCTGAATTGCACAAAACTCCATCACCATCGGGAAATTCAGTCCTTCAGTGGCGTCGTCTCTTGGATTCGTCAATCTCCTCACCCATTTCCATAGGATTGGCAGGATCAATGTAGGCCGACAGTCTAGTATCACCCCACCGAGCGCCAACAGTTACCCAGACACCCTTGATAAAGCTGTTGCCCATGACGGTCTCGCGGTGGCCTCCCCAGCGCAGTCTGTGGTCACGGTCCATAGCACTGTTACCCAGACCACCATTTGTGACCCATTCCTTGATTGCGTTCTTGATGAATTCGATCTTGTGACGGAAGTCGTTAGCGACGGGTATTCCCTGCAATTCGGTTGGGATCTCCGGACGCCGTCGTGATGTCGTGGTCGTGCGAGTAGAACGGGCCGCCGAGGGCTTGGTCTGGAAGTTCAACAACGTCTGCAGGGGGTAGGACAGCATGGCCCTCTCGTCGAGAGCGGCAGCGCCCAGGCTGCCAGTAGTTGCAAGGTTCTGCGCCGCGTCCATGGGAAGGTGCCAGAAGTGACACCAGGTTCCTGCGGCGTTCAGAACGACCTTGGTGTGATCAGGGAAGTTGAACTGTTACTTTGTTAGCCACGTCACGTTATTGATGTGCGACCTAAGCTTACCTGAAGGTGGCCGTCGCCAAAGACCCAGCAGCCAACATCACCAAAGCGTTGGTAGAATGTGACCAGATCAGAAGGCTGAGAGTTGTTGACGGACAGTTCCATCGGCCGAATTACAGTCTCCTCAGCAGGGACCGGCTCATCTCTGCCATAGGCAATCATGTAGTTGGCGAACTTTTTCCAGAGAATGACGCGTTCTCGCTTTCTGTGTTCATAGACGTCCTTTCCAGGATTCAGCTTTCCGGGAGTTCCGTCTTCGTAGACCGGCACGCGGAACTGCTTCGAGGAGACAGAGACTCGAGTGAGACCTGTCTCGCCGTTGTTCTCGTAGAAATGGATGTCTTGCTTGGGCGGCAATGGTTGATGTCTCTCGGGGTACGAGTCGTCGTGACGTCGCTCAATGTGTCGCTCCGCATCACGCACAAGCATGCAAGCCGAAGGCAGTGTCAGAGTCTTGCTGGCCTCGGTCGTAGGAATATCCCTCAAAATGCATCCGACACCGCCATCATTCAAGATATAGCCAAGACCAAACTTGTTGGTGTAGTCGACCCACTTCACGACTACATTGGGATGAGGCGGGGTGGTGTCCTTGGAAGAGATGATAGCCATAGTTCGAGCGTTGAGAGCGCGCTCCAACTCTGTCTGCAGCCTGCGAAGTCTCTCAAGAATGACATCCGGCTTCGAGCCTGCTACCGGCTCCGCAGGTTCGGCTGGGCTAAAAAGCGATGCTCTCTCGTTTTGGTCGGAAGAGATCTTGAGGTTCTCCAACAGCCCCGTCATGGTGACTGTAGCTTGGCTTGAGGACTGGGACGACATGGCTTGGGTGGGCAGAGCGCCTACCGACTGTGATGTCGGAAGTGGTGTCCTTCGCGCACTAGACTTCCTCAATGGAGCTTCCGCAAGCTGGTTCGTCCGAGACTCGGGCGCACTATGCTGTCTAACAGATCTCGGGCGAGGTGCCTCTGCAGGTTGAAGAGGCTGGACGGGGACTTCCGGAGGTGGTCGGGGCCTAGAAGAAATGGTAGAGCTGGCCATCGGCGGCGGTCGGTTCTGTGCTCTTTGTTGGGCCGCAAAACTTTGAGGAGGTTGGCGCAACAGGCCTGTCGGCGCCGTTTGCGAAGTTGTCATTTGAGACTCTGAGGCCGCGTCAGGACGCGAAGACGTGGAGGCAGCAAGCGCGCGAGCGTGTCGCTTCTCGCGAAGCCAATCGTCAAATGGTCTGTAGACAACGTCCTCTCCCAGGGGGATCAGGGGAGTCAACCCAGACTTCTCCTCAGCGGCCATTTCCTTCCACGTTTGGGTGTGAACGACCTGCACTGGTGTCCAGGGACCAACACCGCAATCTCTGCACATGTCCTCCATGTTTCTCTTGGTGACTGCCTGCAACTGAGCACTCATGCGGTTGGTGTAGAATTCGGATCCGTCGGGAGGCAAAGTGAGTAGTCTGGTCGTAATATCGGTCTCGACGGGGAAGTAGCCGCAAGTGAAAAAGGGATGCTGAACAATGATGTCTGGATCGGGTCTCATATCCGCGTCCTCGAGCATAGTGGCTACACAATCCTTGGCCTCCTCGCTGATGTACTTTTGCGACGTCTCCGGGTTCGGCCATTCGTAGTCTCGTTCTCTCGCTCGGCGATAGATTTCCTCGGTGCTGGTCGATTGGAAGGGCGGCTTGGATGTCAACATGGCAAACCTGTTTCAGTTAGTAACGATCGCGGAGACATGGTGAGGTTGAAGAATACTGACATGATGATGCCCAAACTCCAGATATCCACCTGGTGGTCATGGCCCTTCTTTCCCTTCTGGAGAATTTCGGGGGCGATGTAATTGGGCGTGCCGCATAGAGTTGTCCTTCTTATGGTCTGCATATCGCGGCCGGTAACAAGCAAGGCAGCCAGTCCAAAATCGCCAACCTTGGCGTTCATTCGGTGGTCGAGGAAGATGTTACCCATCTTCAGATCTCGGTGAATGATACCCTTTCCATGCATGTACTTGATGGCTCCGGCGACTTGCACTGAGTAGAATCGAACCTCAGGCTCCGTCAACCCCTTGCGCTTCTTGACCATGTCCATGAGAGAGCCGTTGGTGCAGAGCTCGAGAACAAGGTACATGCAGTCATGGAAAGAGAATGCCCTGAAGAACTGGACAATGTTCTTCTGGTTCATCTTCGAGTGGATCTGGAGTTCGGTTTGGAACTACATGGCGCGTTAGACTTGAGCCTGAAAATGAAAATAGAGCTGTAATGGGCTGACCTTTTGCATCATCTTGGACGGCATCTGACTCCGCACAATCTTCAGCGCGTACTTCTTGCGTTCCGGCAGAAGGTATCCCTGGTAACACACAGCGAAACCACCCTTGCCGAGCATTCTGCCGACCTGGTAGACGGCTCCATTGGGACGGTCGTTCGCCGGAGGCTCGTCAATACTCGCGGGTGGTACCGGTGGCGGCTCCTTGTCCTTTGCAGCCTTGAGCTGGGCGACAGGCTTCGACGTCTTCATTTCGATGGCCTTGGGCAGACGCTGAGCGTTGGCGTCCCTAGGCGACAATGCCTCCAAATCGAGGCCCCCTTTCGCCACTAGTCTATGGGCCATGACTGTGGCCTCGGGCTTTCTGGTAATCGATGCAGTTTTGAGAGGAGTGTGACTCTCAAAAGCGACGGGCGCTGAAATGCGAATTCAAGGTCGGCCCAGGGTGGTGTACAGGAAGGACCTGTTACGGACTTTTGTCAGCACACATGGGGGAATGCGAAAGATGGCAGGAGGTATAGTGAAGTTTGCACTGTCGAAGAGTTGGAAAGAGAGGCCGGACGGAGTCCAGTCCATGTGCCGTCAAACGCATCCTCAAGCGCAAAAGACCACAACCGAGCGGGCAAGGCAAGTAGGAACAACACGGACGAGGGTTGTTTACGTACCAGTCTCACAAAGAGATCATGTGCAGCAAACGCAAATGCTTAAAAAAACGAAGCTCGCAAGCAATACAAGAGCGACGGCGAACTCACGGCTGCTGACGAGACGAGGACGTCGCAGAGAACTTACCACCTCAGGAAGTCAAGAGTTGTCGGGATGAAGTGCCGTTGAAACGAACGGTAAACTTTTGGTAATGGAGGTGGAGTGAAGGACCGGGTTGGTGTGTACCGCTGCTGTTGACCTTCGCTTCGCGCCGTTGCCTGGGGAACTACGAACTGAAAGCGCTGTGGGGAACAACTAAGACTGGCCGATGTTACTCCACAACGAACCTCTTCCATTTCCTTTTTGGCAGTCAAAGTGAATGCCTTAGGTAAGCACCATCGGACCACAGAACAGCTCATCTTCCTTTGCGACCTCGCCATATGTTTGTTATTTGCATGTCTCCAAAATCTTCGTTTATTCAGAAGAATTTTTGTGGCTACCTTTCTCATTACTCAAGAATCCTTTTTTTGGCTCCAAAAGCAACTTGGCCAGATGGGCACGCCTAAAGACAGCCCAACTCACCATCGGGAGCTTAGAGACTAACACTCCGGGTGGCCGGGGTCCGCTGGACATGTCGGCTCCGAAGGTGGAAATAAGCGGAATATCAAATCAGCGTCCTCCGACTTGTTCCTCCCCGGGGCCCCTCCAGCAGCCCCAAATGTCGAATCTCGACGTCAGCTACCTAGAATGACTCCGATAAACCCGGATCACCAAGCGTGTTGACATTTCAAAGCATCCAACTTCTCCAATAGCTTCTTCATCGTTTTCGCCTTCAATTGGCCATCGAATGCTTCAATTGACTGGAGAAACAAACCGTCAAGACGAGGCCAAGCGTAGTAGTACGGAGCTCCCGGAGCTCTCTCCCGACCAACCCTTCCGTCACTCATTCGACCCTCGACCATAACCCCACCATGGTGCCATTACCTCTCTTCAAGCTCGCTGCACTCTTTGTGCGACACATTTCCAAATATGGTGCCGTAAGTTGGCAACCTCCTACTCTCTACTGGATGCCCTCAACAATCTTCCACTCCTCCCGGCCCCGAAGCTAATCTTGACATCGTGAACAGAACCAAATAAAAGCACAAGCCCACGATCATCCCAAGTTCCGCGCCTTCGCCGCACGTTATGGCCAACACATACATCAGCTCAATATGCGCCTATCGGTAGCCCTTCTCCGCAATCCAGACGCCGAGCAACGCGCAAAAGAAAAGGCTGAGTCGGCGACCGTCAAGACGAAAGAACAGGTCGAAAAGGAGGAAGCTAAAGCACTGAAGGCTAAGCTCGCAGCTGAGAATGCTGATCTTGCGAAATCGAAGGCCGCAGACTCTATATCGGCCTCCGCAACTCCTACCTCGTCATCCTCCTCTGCCTCCGGCACCAGCAGCGCCAGCAGCAGCACCACTAGTGGTAGCGGTAGCAGCAGCTCGACCAAAGACCGCCCCAGATTCAAGAGCGTCTGGCGACGAAAGTTCCGCTCCCTCCCCGAAGCCAAGGCAGTCGACCTCTTTGCCGACGTCATCGGAGACACCTTTATTCTCGGCGTTGCGAGCGCCATCATCCTCTACGAGTACTGGAAGGCGTCCCAGAAACCGGACCAGAACGCGGAGCGCATAAAGGTCCTCGACGCCAAGCTCGAGGAGCTCACCCGCCGCGAGGAGGCACTCTCGCAAAAGGAAGCGGAGCGGACTGAGAGGTATCATGCGCTCGAGACCGCGCTCAGAGAGCTGAGGGATCCCAAGACCAAGAAGCCTCTGTTGCCGACCCTGCAATTATTGCCGGCGTCGACGGAGACTCGGGAGACGCAGACGCCAAGTGCGTCCGCGGCGTAGAGGTTTTGTATCTCTTTGCTTAGCGGGTAAGAAGTAGGAGAAGGGGGGAGCGAGGTTTCTGTACGAATTTCATCATGATACCAATCTAGCGGGCGACAAATGTCCCCGCGCTGTACCAATCTTATATGGGCAAGTGTAACTCAAAATAGCGAGGAGTTTGGAAGGACCATCTCACTCTCGGAAAGGATAGAAGAAAGAAGTTGGCAAGAGTGGTCAGGTAGCTCTTGCCATCTCTAGATCACATACCTGACTTACCTCACATAGAAAGATCCCAAACAACATTCCAAAAACAATTCAACAACAGTACAAGCTATTCCCATTCTTGAATCTCATCCAACGTTATTCTATCGCAGGATCGCATCCAACGTGAGCAAATCAACAAACACAAGCAGTCTTCATCATACAGAATGTCTACAGCCTCTACCATGTTCTTCTGCTCCTCCCTCCGCCAACGTCCCGAATGGTCACCAGTGATCTCCCTTCTAACAAGCAACACACCGTCCTTTCAAGGTACGGAAAAACACTGAGAAATCCAGATATACCATACGTTCCTTTGCATTCTCCTTCCTTCGGCGTTTACGTTCACTGACGGGAGGGAAAACAACAAAGAAAGCAGACTAGACACACACGACATTGCCCTCCCCATCTCTCAAAACCGGACCTACCGCTTTATCCTTCTCTCGCCAAAGGATGTTGGCCAACGAGCCACCGAGAAGCGCCTCGAGCGTCTATACAGCCTTGACGGAGGCCGCAACATTGCCGTCATCTTCCTCATCGGTGAAGTTGCCGATCAGTCTGATGCGATGCAGGCTTTCATGGAGTTCAAGATTGAGTAAGTTGTGGGCAGAAGCAAACTGCCATTAGACACCTACACACAAACACATGTACCAATACCTCTTCATTTCGGGCATGTTTTGCAGTATTGTAGAGAAAACTAACAAGAGTTCCACAATAAAGCCTGATGGAGAAGAAGTTGGACCTACTTCCAGTCCCTCTAACGTCACACATGGAGCTCCCGTCAACGCTCGCGTGTGTCCGAGAGATGCTCGCCGCAGTACTGCCCGCCTTTGAGCCCGTCTTCGACTCTTCTTTGTTCCTATCTCTAACCCCAAATCTCTCCGTCGCCCTAATCCAGTATATGGCCGGCAGCAACGAGCCCCTCTCAGAACACAGCGCCAACCTTCTCAGCGAATTAGGCCAGTCCCCACGCGAGATTGCCGCCCTCGCCGACACAGAGGAGGGCAGGGTGCGAATCTTGGACGTATTGGGTCCCCAAGACGGCCAAGCCGTTTTGGGGTTCCTGGCGCTTGAGAGGTTGGCTTACACTTGAATATTGGCCGTGAGCTCGGGAGGACTGAGGAGGAATTGGGGGTTAAGAAAGCATGGTTAGCCGTTTTAGACCTTGCCGGTGCCACTGACGGGTGGAGAGGAGATGATCATGGTGCGACGATGGGCTATCTTGTTCTTCGGATGGCAGATCGGTATCCGGTCTCTGGCGTCACTTGACGTGTGTATACGACTCTAGGTACTCCGTAGATAGGAGGAATACCGATATCCTGGGGCAGTTGCCCAGCCGCTCAACTCGGTATCGCGCTCATCTTGGTAAAGATCGTGATTAGGGGGAAATGGGGACTGGAGAAAGGGGATTTGGGGAGGCTGTGTTCTGGGTGCATCACCAAGGGTAGACATGAGACGAGTCAACGGAGAGAAGGGGTTCGGTAGTTGAGCATCAAGAGGCGATGGATGTCATCACCATTCAAACCTGTGGGGGGGGTGGGGGGGGGCGGCTTGGACCAAAGACAAGGCTCTGACAGCTCTGACAAGCCACAGAACCAACAATGCACACGGGAAATGGCACAGGAGTGTTGAGACTCGAGAGAGGGAGGGAGGGAAGCTCGGAAGGATGGGGAAGGGAAACGGCTGCCTCTCCCAAAAGGGGACCACTTGACAGGTCGTTCGTGCCTCAGAAAAGACCAGTTGACACTGACAAGCTGACAACCACGGAACAGAGACGTTTGGAACTCCTGCTAGAAATTCAACCCATCTACGCCTTTTCGTCTCACTAAAAAAGACGGGATGAAAAAGGTACCATTCCCTCCCAGGATCCGTGCTTGGGCATAGTGAGAGTTCTCGTGGTTCTGTGCTTGTCTTGATTTTTTCTGACGGCTAAGACGGATCATGGCTTGCTCTGGGTGCGTGGCATATTGCGTGTGATGGGATCTGGGAATGTATGCCAGGGGAGCAAGAATTGTGAAGCATTTGATGTCGTGGTGTGTGCTTGGGTCTCCCCTTCCCCCTCCTTTCCCGGCTGTGCTGAATAGCCGTGCTGATCAGGGAAAACCATTATGGGGCCCTTGTCGGTTTTTTTCTTTTCTTATCATTTTCATCCGACGAATATCAGAGGAAAGGAAGAGGGATGAGAGGTGAGAAAGCCTGCCAAGTGAGGGGATGATCTGGCATTCTAGCGGAATGCGATGTTTGATCAGACAGGATCAATCGGGCTTTCAAACGTCGATAGAGGGGAGGGGAGTTGCATCATGAAGCCTATCCGGTCTTGGCTCTTGATTGATGTGCAACTCTCATATTGAAGCACGCACGTATTAAATCTCCAAAGTCTTGGTTTGCAGTTACTGTTACGTTAGTCTTTTTTTTTTCTTTTTCTTTTTTCCCTTTTTGGTCGTTTATTAATCGTTTTGCCTTGTTGGGAAGCGTCGTCGATCTTGCAAGTTGTACAAATCTTGACTATGTTGGAAAGAAAAGCTCTAGAAGTGTTCTTGGGCCCCACCTCTTCTCACCCCCTTCGCTTTCTGTGCCTCCTGTCTCTCTCTCTCTCTGCAATGCAGAGACGTTCGAGGTGGGGATTGCCATGTTTTTCCAAGGGTCTGGTTCATGAGGGAACCGGGGTGAACACTGGAGGGAGAAGTGGTGGAGGACTGACACGAGGGCACACGTTATGGTGACTTCAGAACGGCACTCATCACCCGATCCTCGACTCGTGCCCTGCAGAGACCATCACCACACATCCGCACCACATGCAAAAAATCGTCGTCGGTGTGTGACCGGATGCCCCGGCAGGGGAGCCCTGAGGTGGTCCGGACCAAGGGCGAGGGGGCGGGCAATCCCTTATTGCTTCCGTATTGCAGCCATATTGTAGCCGTTATTGCACCCGTATTGCGCTATACTTGGCCGTGATATCGCTCCAAAGCTTGTCGACAAGACGCTTAGCTCGGATCGGATCCTGAGAGATATGCTTATCTGTCTGTTGAACTCTGCACGCGTGATGGGCACAAGCTTTGGCTTATCAGTACTGCTAATAATACTAAGAGACAGACAAAGTGCTAAGCGAAGGAGGAGCATCTCTTTGCTTCGTTCTCGCATCCAACAATTAAACTAGATGTTTGCCTGCCAACGTCGGTGTAAGCAGCTCTCGGTCGAGTTGATCCGGCGCGGGGAAGTGGCGTTAGGTTGCATGGCATGAGCAGATCTCGCCAGCCATTGCCGTGGTGCCATGCTGCCAGAACAATCTGCTCATGGAGTATCTATTTCTGGCTCGGATATCGGTGAGCTACCAGTGCATCCAGAGTGGAATTGAACCAATTGACCGCCTTTCAAGGGTTCAATTGTTCAAATCGACAGTCCAGCCTCTGGCATCCAGTCGTGCCCAGTAGGAAGCGAAATCAATAATGCTGTGATTGATGCCAGGCGGTTGCAGTAGTACAAGTGACGACTCCTCCTTCAATCGGAAGCAACAGCTCTGCTGGTTGGTCAGGCCACAAAAGAGGGTGGGCCGCCGCCATGTGGGTTCCTGCGAGGGGAACCAATGAGCCGCGCCGCTGAACCGCCCTCCTAAATAGAGTTGAACACACCTCATTGTTAGCGGCGGGTTTTTCCCCTCCTCTGTTCTCGGTAATACTTTTTATTTTTAGTCTTGATCGAACAGAACTGCGTTCGATGCAGCGGAGCGGATGGGCGGGATGTGCTGCAACTCTCATCGGTGAGAGAGATTGCAGATTTGCAGATTTGACGTTGACCAAGAGTCAAATAAGACCCTGCAGGCCAGCCACTTGTCTGCCGAGGCGACCTCGATGTGAGCAGTTTTCTCGCCATGCTGCTGGGGTCCTCTTGGCCATACCTAGACTATCGATTCGAATCGTCACAACCCAGCAGTCGTGACGACGCTGAATCAGGCAAGTAACGAGTATAGCAAGTTGCTATTATCGGAGAGCACGCAGCATGCAGTCCACCGTGCTCGACCCAAAAGCACGTCCGCACATGCGTCTCTAGAGACGTAAGTGACACACAAGGATTCGTTGCCCACGCCAAGACCGTTGATACCGAGGATTCTCTCGGTGCAGGACTGGCGGCGAGAGGCTGATACCGTGGCACACCGCATTGCAACTCCGAGCAGCCAAGGTGAGGGGAAAGAGAACGACGTGCACAATGGCACCAAAGGCCCTCCACGCGGACGCCAAAGCTTTAGTGTCTTGTCTCGAACGGTCGATCGGAGCTGTCAGCATCGACTCTCGGGCACTTGCCGCAGAAAGCTGACGATGCCAGCCAACGTGCCAGCTCATCTCGGCGCTTTGAGAACAACGGCTTTACATCCCAAAAGGATCATCTGAAGAGTCAGGAACGCTCGGTCTTATTGCGCCGATGACGGGGTAAGCCAGCAAGACGCCCAGACTTGAGCGTCACTGGTAGCGGGAGCAAAGCCGCCTCCCAGAATGCCAGCTTGTGCCCTTCTCCTTCACGGCTTTAAGGTTCTGTCGACAGGGGTTGCTTGACAGCTTCTGATGGCAACGTCACAGTCCCTAGTGTGGTCTGTTCTCAGTCTGAAGTGCAGCGTTCATCCTCAATGCTTCGAGTCGTCTGTTGATCGGGTCAAGAAGACGTCGGCTAGACTCAGCAGGGGCCTGCTCCGTGAGACGGGAGGCGTTGAGGAGGCATGCGTTCATGCGGGTTTAGAGGTTTGCTGAATAAGACGACACCACCGTCTTTCCTCGGTTGTCTTTCGCGCCGTTAGCTGGCAGCCATAGTAAGGCTTCGTTCGGTTCAGCAAGCAGTCTTTCCGAGAATGGCAGCGGGGCTCTGTGATTAGGTATATCATATGGCATGTCGGTCGGTCGGTCAAATAAGTCATGGAAGCTGCAGTCGTCGGATTTCGATTGATGATTCTCAATCAGCTGCTGTGCCGTACACTAGTCCCCGTCATCGCGGGTTTGGGACTTTGGACAACGGTGAAGAGCGTGGCCGCTGTGGAGTATGCGACGGACCCCAAGAGCAGGCGAGCAAGGGGGGGGGGGCAAGAGGGAAAAAGAAAGAAAAGCCCGATCCTTGTCAATATCTCCCATGTGGCATGCCCAGCTTTTGCCAACCTCCAGCCAGAAAGGGACTTTCTCGAGGGCAACGGGACCGGGGTCTGTTGTCCATGTTGCGTTGCGGTCCAAAGGTGGACAGGGGGGGGGGGTTCGTGGTGGTGGTGGTGGAGGACAGGGTTGGGTGTCGGACGAGACGGTGACTGCGACCGGGCAACGAGCAGCCGTCCCATCTTCTCAAACCAGCTGTGCCTCAGCACAGCCATTCTGGAACTTGCGTGTGTCTGAGGCGGTTTTGATCAGCCGTCTCAGAGTTTTGCAGAGGATCAGATGGCATGAATTCAGCGTGGGCGTTGGTAACTTGGGGATGGGAGGCTCGAAGGGCACAATGGGACATCTTTCTTCTGGTCTGAAGTTCGGGGTGGCCTGGGCTGTGTCGTGTCGTCTTGTCGAGTCGAACCTAAGCAGCCCTCCTTCCTCGAGTGCCTCTGTGATTACCTAGGTACTTGGAAGGAGAAGACCACGATCGTTCGGACCGCGATGCTTTTCTTAGACACTTCTGCTGTCGTACCTTGCGAATAAACGCAAGGCAAGAGCTCGGAAACAGGCAATGGCGGGTATTGTTTCTTTTGGCCTGTTTATCCTCCCGCTCGACTTGCCTATCGTAGATTTCTCTGCATTCTCATTTGCTGAAATGACCGAAGCTAGATTAATTAAATCGACCTCTGGCCTGTAAATCATTGACCTCTCCTCCAAAAGTGGCACATTACTTCGCTGGAGGCCGGGGTCTTACAGGGCACTTTGCTCACTGCTACGACGGCAGATGGCCTGCTGTAGTGTAAGTGCAACCCCTCTGCGGAGTTGCAGTGGTGAGGTAAAGTGCGCGCTGTGCTGTCCATCTTCTGTGCGTGAGGTGGCTGACCAGGAGTAGGGTTCGTGAGGCGATACCTAGACGAGAGGGCAGAGCTGGGATGACAGGAGAGGTACCTGAATCTGTCGTGTCTTTCTCGTGAGAAAAAAGGTACCCATCTCGTCCCTTCCTCTCACTGGGATGCGATGATCTGACGGCACACCAGACGGCCCCAGTCTTACCCCTGGTCCCTTGGCAGGTGCGCTCCACCCTCCGCCTGCCAGAGGAGAAGCGGCAAGGGGTCTCATTGGCCCGAGCTCATTCTCTAACCGCCCACGTCTTGTGCGTACAGGTCCAATCACGTCGATGCGTTAACCACCTCTGTCACTCGACCCTTTCCTAGGCCCCTCCGACCTCGTCAACTCACTCAACATTGCACACCAAAACTCCCATACGGATGCTCTCTTACTTGTTCGAACCATTCACGCACACCGATCCTCAACTCGCCTAGCCCCGCGCCTCGCCTCGTCCTCCACTACCTATATTGCTTGCAGGAAACAATGTCCCTCAACTCTCTCACCGTGGCCTGGCCTCGCCTACCCATCCCGGGCAACATTGCACCCGTACCCGCCCGCCTACATCCTTCACCCACGCATATCCCCCATCATGCAGTCAAGTGACGGCTTCAACCTCCCTGGGGGCCCTGGCTGAACTATCTCTAGTGCCTAATCGCCCTTCTCCAAAACCTGTGTGACCACTTTCAACTGGCTCTCGATTGAGATTCCATGGCCGTGGCTGGGTCGGGCGGGTATGGTAGCGCCGTAACGCTGCCATGCCAGACGGACGTATGATGCCGCTTTCTGCACTGCACTTCTTTCTTGCATCCAATTCCGCCTAGATGGACCGGCCAGATCACCTACCCCGGTTTTTCTGATCCGACCAGACTCTCAAAAGCTGGCGTTTCTTAAAACTCGTCTACCTCCATCTTTCGCGTGTGCGACCAGCCGTCGTTTCTGTCCCTCTTCCACCTCCTTGCTTCACCAGTGTCCCTGACAGCCGTCCTGTCTGATCATCAAACAACCTTCATGCGACGGGGGCGATAGAGCACAGATCCCTGACCAACATCACGTACCAAAGACTCCACCACAACGCTTCACCATCCCGACTACTGCCTCATACCCCGTACCTCACCACGGTCTCCCGGCACTAGGAGAATATCTCCCACAGAGCCTCAACGCAAAGAGCTTCAGCCTTCAGATCCTACGATATCCTGGTCCACGAAAATCACACACGCCGTCACCGCTGTCCACATTTTCTGCAACACTGACCACCACCTCCACCAACATCATCGTCAACGCCAGCCTGACCCCCCGGCTTCGCCTCTTAGTTCTGCTGGCTGGTCTATAGCAGAACCAAGACCCCTCGCGCAACAAGAAACGTCTCAATGCCGCTCGGATGCCCGCTGTCATCATAGATCAGATTGCCCGTACCTGGCTCTCTAGAGAACTCGCTCCAGCATCGAGCCAGAAACACCCGACACTGATACCCTGCCCAGCAAGCTAGCCCAGGGGCCCATTCTGATACAAGCCTCAACCAGCTTTTCTGTGCGGCTCGGCGTCTTGCCCACTGGGCTGGACCAAGCCCACATCATCCTCCACCTCTCACACAGCCAGGCACACACCAGCATCCGCACCCTGGTCTGGGTCTGCACCTTCAGTCCAAGTCGTCTCATCCATCCCGACTCTCTCGTCTCAATATAGATCTGTCGTCCTCCCCCGCCTCATTGATCGGTTGACACTTCTTGCCCTTCCTCTTGACCTTCTCTTCTTTCCTCGCCAGCGCTGCGCACTTGCCTGTCGATATCCTTCTTTTAATATCGACACTCTTCGGTTCGAACGCCTTCACTTCTTTCTTCAACCCGCAGGTCCGGTACCTATTCCTTTCCTTTCGCCGTTGCACGGTTTGCCTTTCGACCTAGTCGCCTTTTACACCACTACCCGATTTATTCCAAAGAGAGGGCTTCGATCTCGACGACCGCTTCCTTCATTCCTTTCATTCACTGGTTCAACGGGTTTATTTGGGAAACGAGGACGGACACAGCAAGGTCGCAGCAAAGGTCACCAACGCAACAGGCAAAAGAGGGATCAAAAGATTTCAAAATACAACTGAGCAATCAGAAAGAGAGAGGAAAAGAAGGCTCCACGCAAAAAGTCGACAACATTATTTAATCGAGAAACATGGGTCGTCTTATTAAGAACCATTGGGCTCGGCTCATCGTCATGAGCGCGGCAGCTTGTAAGTTGGACATCTCCATGAGGGCCAAAGCATCTTGAATACTAACATTCAGCGAACAGACCAGTTTGCCGCTGCTCTCGAGGGCTTCTTCTGGCCCAAGATCTTCTGGGACTTCTTGACTAAAACGCTGGACCCAGCTGTCAAGCCCGTGCCGGTGTTACAAATTATCAATCTCATCATGGCGCTGTTCATGGTGGCCCTGGAGTGGCCTTTGGGATTCATCGCCGGCTCAGCAATCCACCGCAGTCTCGAGTTCCGCCTCATCATCCTCCCTCTCACCACCCTCGCCGCCGCCCTCATCTACCAGGGTACCAACTCTGCTCTCTACTACATTGTCGGGTTGGTTGTTTACTTTTGGGCCTACAGCGAAGGAGAGGTACGGTTCACATGCAGCCCACAACACACTGGACATCATACTGACTTTGGTAACCAGATTATCTGCGCTAAGCCCTGGACCCTTCCTCAAAGAAGCCGCAATGGCTCTCGCGTATAGACTGCACCCGCCTCTTCCTCGCCGCGGACACAATCGTCTCGACCTCGCACGGTACAATGAACTACCTGTCAGAGAGACTTCCGTATACCCCCAGGGCGAGCAAGTCCAAACAAACTCGGGAGAATCGACGAATCCTCACCATTCTTTCCCTGAGCTATCATGACAACATGTTTACTACTTTTCCTTTCATGTTTATAACGATCCCAATCGATATCACGGCATCCAGCATCGGCGTTATTCCTGACGACAAAGGGTTATATGATTCTTCCTCAACTCTCGGTTACGGCGGCTCGATAACGGTATAACCTTATTCGGCCTTTTTCCTCTCCAAGTCATCTCAGCGTGGGCACACTTTCTCGTGGCAGTTGCGGTGGTGGTGTGTATGGGGGTGGATGTGGTCGTCGTTCGTCCTGTTTCGCATCGGCTTACCATGGACTTACACACAGTGGGTGGCGCGTGGACCGGGGCATGGGTCAGTTGGGGGCAGCCGAAGGACTAGAGACAGGAGGCTCCTTGGCACGTCGCTTTTTAGAGCATGCCACCTCCCATGTTCTGGAGGGTGCATTGTATCATCCCGAGGCTCGGCTCAACAACACAATCGGGGTGGGGGATCCTGGTCTCGGGGGGATGGGATGAGACGAGAAAGGGAGACGGACACTGGAGAGAGATTCTGCCTGGAATAGCCGCCGCCCAAAGAAAAAAAACGCTGTCAAGAGACGTGGCCTTGGTCTATAGAGACCGAAGCAACCAATGCTACACCTAATATCAAGACAAAAGAATTCCACTGAAAAAAAAAAATCAGCCAGGACCAATGCCCACTTGCCACCCCATCTCCATGAACTTGTGAAGTGACACGATGTGACGGCAATCTCGGCAAACAAGCTTAACATGCGGTGACATGTGGCATACCGCGACATGGGGTTCATCCCTCTCAGATTACATCTAGGGACATACCAATTCAGAAAAAGTCAAAGAATATTAACTTGCCGTTGTACCGTAATGGTCTCATGGCTCATGGCTCTTGGCCTTTTCTGTTTCTCGTTCGCACTTATACTTTTCCTTCGCAGCCAAGGAAACCGATGGTTTACAAAGAAGCATCAAGGTTTTTCTTCTTCGTCATGTTGCTTTGCATCGAACCGTCTCTCCCACCTGAAAAGTGGTGTGTGGATGACCTCAAGGTAGGTAATCAGTGACAACACACTGTCACACACACAACCTAATCGTCCCCCTCCCCCCCCCGACGAAAAAAAAAAGATCAAAATACCCCCTTTCAGAGTTTGAGGCGCGTGGAGGCAACGAGCGAAGGGGCGGGGGGCGGCTACAAGCAGGGGTCGGGGGGGCCAAGGCACCGCAGCGGCTCCCCGAAACACTTTGGAAACGGGCGCGCACCACATCACGAGTCCACGAGAGAGAGAGAGAGAGAAAACCAGCCAACAGGCCAACGACGCAAGGTCCAGCACAAGTAACACCCAGCGGACAGCTAACAGGGACCGCCGCCCCCAACGACTCGTATCCCCACTTTTGACAGCCTTGCACATATTCGAATACATTAAAACCGTCTTTATATAGACTGGGTTTCTCGCCCGTTCCTGGTGGACAATTTACATGAAGTAAGCCTGACCAAGCCGTCGGAAAGAGCTTCTTTTGAAGAATCGCCCGGTCGGTCAACCATATCGCGAAAGCTTGCTCAATAGTCGGTCAACCTGGTCAGTTTCCGGGTCTGTCGGCCGGATTGAGTGACTGGCCAAGCTTTTGGAACTTTGTGACCGCGGTGAGTTTTTCAGCAGTTGCGCAACAGAATATTATGTAGCCATCAGTCCCACGACCGTTCGTCACAACTAGTCACAATCATGAGATGCACAAAATAATACAGTGATTTGAGAGAAGTCATGTGCTCATTATTCAGCTATTCGCTAAGTAAACCCACGCAATGGACGCCATGCTTGACCATGGCGTCGACGTTGAACCCTTGTCGGGCTCGAAGGAGATTTTTTAAGGTTATCACACCTTGTAGATCATCCTCCGTTGCATGTATATTGGTTGATGAGAGACGCGATTAATGTTCCCTTTCAAGACATCTTCTTTCGGATTGTCGTTGTTAGGCACGCTCCGCCGAGCGCAAAGCCTCGCTGCCATCGCTGCACACACCACCCCAAACCTCAACGCCTCAAGACACAAACGCCCGCCTTTGGCCGCTGCAACGTCGAGCGCCAGGAAATCGTCGGGGTCGGCTCACATGAAGTCTAAACCTTCTGGAAGATGGTGTCGGCCGAGCGTATGCGACAAGGCCTCCCCTCACGTCTAGCCTCACGCGACTGCGGCGGGGGATGGAAGACCTCTAGTGGGCGACCATGCCTCCTTGGGAATCGTTCTTGGGACCCTGGCGGTCGGCAAACTGTTGATGATGTGTCAGCAAATTGCACTTTGGACGATGGATGAATTTCAAGTGCCTTACCTCAACGTGTTGAGTGTCACCCTTCTCAAGGATCTGCTCGATCACCTTGTCGTCGACGCTGGTGCCAAATTCGTTCTCGAGTGTGGACTTGGAAGCGGTGTCGTACTGGCCCTGAGCACCTTGCCTAGTTTATCGGGTTAGCCGCTGTGCATAGTGCGTGGACATGCGGGGCAGGCCGTTCAGGTGTCGAATGTTTGGAAGCAAGCGACTGAAGGTCCAACCGCTCCGTCACCATGCCATAGGCCGGGGCCAACAGAGTGGCAGGCTTCAAATCCAATTGGCCCGATGACAGAAAGACAGCCAGGTGGAGCAATGGTGATGATTGAGAGGAAAATAGAAATGTAGAACCACTACTTACTTGTGCGTGACGAAGATCTTGTACGAGGAGATGAAGTGTGCCAGAGGAACAGTCTTGTCGGTCTTCCACTTCTTGTAGAGCTCGGCGTCCTCAACGAAGATGATGAAATCGTCCTCCTGGCCCTTGAAGTGGACCTTGGTCTGGGAAGCCTCGCCGCGAACCATTTTGACTGTGATAGTGGTGGTGTGTGGTATGTGTTGGTAAGTGATTGAATGATGAACTCTCAATGGAGGTCTTGAAGATTGATAGTAATGTGCGTGTTAGACGAAAGTCGCCGGGTATCTCAGGAAGTTGTTTGTTTTGTTGATTGATCTGAAGAGAAGAAGACAGAAGGGAGCTCAAGGTACGCCGTACCCTTTTAATATGAGACCAAAGCTGAAGAGGGGGAGCTTCCCCCAGCTACGCTAGGAGGAGAGGGCGGGAGCTGGGAAGCTCGTGATTTGGAAGGTACGTCATAGGTGCGGGAACACGCGACTGCCTTTCATCACTGCCCCGCCATTGGGGAGCTTGCCCGGGCAGGGAGCGGGGCAGCAATGTGCTCCGTGCATCGCCCAGCTGGTCCAGGCACGTCGCCAAATTCGCCCATTAGGTACCAGGAACTCTGAGCGTTCCTGCATCGCACCACTGTAGTACGTCACCGCTAATCTCAGACCAAGGAAAATAGGCCAAAGGGGTGTTTACACGTTGCGTGAACTTGCGGCTGGAATGATCTAGATGGGGAAGGAAGCGTTTGGCCCAAAGTACCTACTTACCTTGCCATGTCCTCTCCTTCCTCACTGCCCGCGCAACTGAACCGCCCTTGTTGTCCCGAGGTACCTTACATCAATGCAAGTCACCTCACTGGCCACGGCAGCTTGCTCTGGTGGGGCTGACAACGGGAGCTCAACATCCACTGTCCCAAGAAGGTCCAAGACATGGAGACGGACGTCCGCAGAAAGAGGCATTGCCAGGAGTCAAGCCTCACGATGGCATCACTGACATCATCTGGTGTAACTTTAAGGTGTGTAACTTATTGCGGTGGATAATGAGCAATCTAACGCAAGGGGTATCATTATACTCTCGTCAACTCGACGACAAAAACAATCTGAGCTAAGAATAGCCCCAAATGAACTTGGTGCTTTGCCCCCTCAGAGTTCCTCAATGAATATAGCCAATAGGCCTAAGATAGTGACGTGCAACCTCCTTCTTTCGCATCCAATTCCTGTCACTCTGTCATAATTCACTCATTGACGCGTACGAAGGGCCAAAAGCTGCGGCTGGTCTTCATCGAAAGAAGCTTCGGATGCCCTGGACCAAATCGTCTCTGTTCAATGTGCCAACCTTTCCCCAGCGCATCGACGCCTTGTGGGACAGCTTGGGCGCTTTTGGTCCCCGATTTTGATGCTCCCTGTTACCTTTCTCTGAAGGGCAGGGTGATCTTCTGTCGGTGATTTGGTCTCGACGCACTCGCGGCAAGTTGTTTCCCGACGCAGTGCGCAGAATGGACGGCCTCGACGTATACGTGTCCCCAGTGTACATGTGCTCCAGCCGCAGTTGTTCGACTGGATCTGCATGAACAAGAAATTTGGCCGGATTCAACATCGGGGTTGCCGGAGCGCTAACCGTGCTTATAACCTCGACATCGTCGATTTTGGGCAAACGAGTCTTTGTTGTTTCACCAGCTTCGTCGTCGAGACCGTGCTCAATGTTTGAACTCTCGCCTCTACAGAGCTTGGAGGCATGTCCGTGATGCGTGTTTTCTTGCTTTTCTCCCACATCGTCGTCAGGGATGAGCTTCCCCATGCTAGCGACGCTGTTCGACCTCTTTGCAAAGGAGCTGGCGATGCTTGCAACGCTGAGCTTCCGCATCATTGTACTGGCCGAACTTCGAACCAAGTGTTCAGAGCGAGATCGACCAGTCATACCGGGGAACGGAAGAAAATCTCGGCTCCAGACATCAGACATGAGAGCTTCAAGTCGAGCTCTCTCACCTCGTGGAGGCGCAAGAATTGGAATGCGAGGATTTGTTGTGAGCAGTGATTGCGAGCGATTGATAGATGTTGTGGATGCAGCATCTGAACTGTCTCGCATAACACTGGTATTCTTCAGAATGACCTGACACAGGGGTGATTTTGGGCCAACTGTGGTGGCGCGATGAATCGATATCCGACGGGCAACAGTGCCTGGGTAGTTGTCAACAACATGAACCCAAGACTTTTTTTGGGGGGGAAAGACAAACCTGGTTTTCTAAACACCGTACCAAGACTCTTCATGTTCAAAGACATTGAGCTGTACAGATTAGGATCGATCTGCTCTTGCTCTCCCGTTCTGGCAACCGACAACCGGCTTCGCCATTCTTCTTGCTCTCGAGGCGAACAGGCAGTCATGAGTATTTCGTATAGTTGGGAATCGCACTCAAATACCAGTTTCCATGAGAATGGAGCTGTGTGGCATTGAAGACCTTTAAGAATGTAAGCAGAGATACTCGGGCATTCATGGAGGAACGCTACAAACCTCTCCCATTATCCGTCTCCTCGATCTTGATACTGGCCAGGTTGATACATGCTTGGATAGTGTAGATCTGGTCCACTTTGCTGGCTGAAGCTAGACAGAAGACATTGTGATAGAGGAGACAAGCCATGTACTGTCCTTTTGCGCCGTCTTTTGTTTGCCAGCAAACATGCAGTGCACCGCAAAGCTCAACATGGCCAAATGACCTGATTCGGTTTTTCGAGGCTGCGTCAAGTTTCTTCCCAAAGCTGTTAGTCACAGTTTCGTGAGCGCTTTATGCCGCCATCTTACTTGTTCAGGGAAAACCAGCCTGTCTTGAAGAACCCAAGTTCTTTCCAGTGTGGATTTCATTCGCCTGTCGTTCGTTGCTCGATTGATCTCGGCTGTAGCCTCTCGCAATCGCAAAAGAGCGCTTTCAACCTCCATGTGGGAATTCGGACAGTCTGCCACAGGCGTATACTTCAAAAGTTCGGCAAAAAGCAGAGGATACTTGCAGATCCGCTGAATGGGCTAAGACTTCATCAGTAACATGTCTGATACCAATAGGGGCGCGTCGCTGACCTTGACAAGGAGATCTCCAATAGTCAGTGACTTCTTCGCCTGGTCGGCATGACTGTTTGCAGATCCCAACGATGAAGCCAGTGTCTCGATACCTCTCTGATAGGTGTCCCATTGCGGCATAGTCCGATGAGCTGAAGCAACATCCTTGATCATCATCTCATACTTTGCGCCGTATTCTTCGTAAATGAAGAAACGGTTCATCTGCAGAACAGGGTCAGCAATGACTTTTGGTCATGTCGAGATTTCGTCTCGAGTAGTTACCTTTCTACTGAACACCTTTGCCACATCTCCGGCAACCTGTGCTTCGGATATCATCCCGGGCACTTCTTGAAGCCAACTTATGGCCCTGTCATCGTCTTCTGGTACAGAATCAAGACTCCTCATTCGCTGGTGTCCACGACCAAGAGGCTTTCTGGGCAACGGCGGAATCTCCATTTGAGTGTACTCTGAGTCCGGCACAGCGCGATGCAGGTCGCCCAACAGCTCTTCATGGAGTTCAACAATGTCTGTGAGATTGCGGTTGATCGAGGACCTAAGCCCCGGGGGCAGAGTGGGCAGAGAAGCGAGTATCGTAATGTAAACCTATCAAAGTCAGCTTCTTGTACGTTGTGTGACCTTTTGTTAGACAGCATTGGCGACGCACATTCATCAGGAAGCGGACGTCTGCAATATAACCTTCCTCGGTGCTGATGAGTTCCTCCAAAATGCGTCTACGCTGCAAAGCGCGTTCGGTCGCCAACGGATCAGCCTGGGTTGGCAACCCGACATCACAACTGTCTTCTGAAAATCTGGTTGCAGTGAAAGAACCTCTGCTGCTTCGCTCGGTTTTGGAAAAGGCCAGTGAGCGGCGGCTGTTACCTCGAGGGCGAATTATAGCACTGCCGCTAGCAAGGCTGACACTAGCACTTTTCACCGCAGCGACGAATCCAAAAGATGAACCTGATGATGATCTCCTATGGCGAGTCCTCCGAGAAAGTGCTGACCTATCAGCCGAATCCAGAAGCTTCCAAGGTAAGGCACCATCCACGTTCATAGGCCGCGGTCGCTGTTTGGCGCGTCGATGAAGAGTTCTCATCCATTTATGGAAAGGACCTCGTTTGGAGGAAGTGTCTGGATCCGAAAGCTCGTGGTCGTCGTCTTCGCTGCCATCAACTGATATCCGAGGGAACGGGATGAGATCGTCGTTGGAGTCGCCGTTGTTGGGCTCTAATCCTAAAGCAGCCATGCTGCTCAAAGTATTCCAAGCCGCGACACCGTTAATGCGCAGACCGTCGAGACCGGATGAAAGGTCGACATTTTCGAAAACCTCATCAGACTTAATGGAATCTTGTTGTGACCCGGGCGATGGGGGATTCGATGTGGCGCAATTTGTCTTACGGTTGATTCGGACGGAGCTGGAGCGGGAGCAGTATCCAAGAGATGCAGAGTCTGGTGGTGGTGGTGGCAAAGCCATGGCGAAGTCCAAGAAAGAAGAGGTAAGACTGGGTTCCAAGACACCAAAAAAGGAAGCAATAGCGGTTCCAAGAGGATTCAAAACATGATGTATGGTATCAACACCAAGAGATGAGTGATGCAAATTTGCTGGGACTGCCAGCTGTGGGAGGCTCGAGAGGGTTGAGGCAGAAGAGGATGATGTTCCGTCGCCGGCGTGGGATTTCTTAGTCCAGGTACGGGAGGAAAGCCAGCGTGGGTCACTAGAACGAAGGAGGGAAGGAGGATTTCGAGGCCGGAAAGCTCTTTCAAGACGGATGACGGGGAGGGCCAGAGGAAGGAGGAAAGGAGGAGCAGGCACAGCACTTTAGACACTACAAAAAATATGAGGAAAGCGGACTGTTGGCCGAAGGGACGACTCCGGCCGAACCACGGAGCTGGAACTCAACATTCATCGTTCTTCCTATGCCGGCTTCTACATATTGACGACGATCAAGCTCTACATACGGTAGTCTTGCTTCTCGTGAGAAGTCACGGCGTGGTACGGACCTGCGGTGGACAGTCGCACCCGGCGAATCTACCAACGAGCCGGTCGGGAGGAATGCAGCTGCGACATGCAGCCTGCCCGCCGGCCCAGAGAACGCGTCTCTAGTGTGCATCGTTGTCGGGTCAAGATCTGTGGATCTTGCGTCTTGGACGTGAATTGGATGCCATCGTAGCACATGTTCTGCCGGAAGATGAAGCTGCCGCCGGTTCGGAGTTCCTGCTGAAGCTCGATGCAGACTTTGGTTCAGCATGGCGCGTCCGAAGATGAAAAACTCAACATGGCGGTGACGGGCCGCGGCCCATCAGCGCCATCAGCGCCATCAGCGCCATGTCTTGATGCGCGGCGTAGCGAGCGGGAGACAAAGAAACCTCCTCGTCAGTCTAGTGATCTAGTCGTCCATCAATCTGGACCGAACATTTGTTCTCGCTGCCCACCATACGAGTCTCGGTGGCTTGACAGTACGGGTTTTCCATGTCGCTTGACTATAAGTGTACGGCAGGACTGCATGGGAGACCTGATCTCGAGACCTCCAAGACTTCAAAGTGGGTGTCAGTCGCCTCCATGGCCCACGTCTTCGTCCTGCCTTACGCAAGACATGCGGACGATGTGGATGCAATGGTTGCAGGCCGTTTTCCGTACGTTGACGGCGTTCCTAAACCCTGACTCGGGCTCGGCGCGAGCGCCCAAGTGGCTCCGGAACGGCCTAGTGCTGGTCCACTGAAAGACGGGGACGGCGGGCCTCAATCGGAAAGGGAACCTCTAGCCAGTCACGTGAGGAAGTGATTATGTCATTGCTGGTCCTTGACTTCCACTCAGTCCCAGGCACCGGGCGGCACGCAGCACAACAAGCCAGGCACGACCAGGCACATTTGACGGTTAGTCAGCACTGGAGTCGCACTAGTGTGTAAGCTTATCAGGTCAGCTAGGCGAGTACGTACTCCGTACCGTATCCAGGTTCACGTCAAAGAGCTCCCCTTTCCCCCTCCACTCTGCCCTACGCTCCGGATTATCGGCTTCGGTTCAGTGGTTCTAATTGGCCCCTGCCCCACGTTTTCTTGCTTCGGGGCCGCAGTGGCTGGTCCCCGATATGGACAGATATGGGCCAGTTTGCCAGGGACGCACAGGTGAATTGCTGGGACCTTGGGAGTCTTGTTTCTTGTTGCAGGGGCTCCCCCCACCAGCGCTAGCCCGAGAAGGACAAGCTCGGGATCTTTCCTCGACGGCCAAAAAAAAAGGTTCCAGAAGGGGCAGCTATCCGTATCGCACTGTTAGGCAAACCTGCCACCCCGTCCACGGCCACTGAACGAACACGTAGAGCGTATTGGAAACCCGGTGGGAGTTCGGCGACGATTTCAGCTTCCTGCCCCACTGCAACGGCAATAAGATACGCTGTCTGTTTGATCGCAACTTTTCCAGCACCTTCCTCCTTTCCTCCTTTACATCCTTAACCTTTTCTTTCACAAGGTTCGGATCTCGATTTTTCCTTTCACTCTTCAACACTCCCTGAAGAGTTCCTCCGTGCCCATCGTCTTCATTCGACAACAGACTCTGACAGCCGCTGCAACTCGGCTAGATAGTGACGGTTCTCGACATAACACGTCCCGCGCGCAGCGCAGCTTTCGCGATGGAGAGCGCATTCGCCTCGCCCACCGAAAAGGTCCTCTCGACTCTGGGAGTGAACCCCAAGACCGGTCTTACTGATCATCAAGTCATTGCCTCACGCACCAAGCATGGCAAGAATGGTAAGTTGGCTCTTGCGACTTGAAACGAAACCCACGATAGTTCCGTGCTAATCGTCCGTCCGCAGTCATCCCCGAAGAACCTCCGACACCCATCTGGGAACTCATTCTCGAGCAATTCAAGGACCAACTCGTCATAATCCTCCTCGGCTCTGCCGCTGTCTCTTTCGTTCTGGCCCTCTTCGACAACGAGGAAGGTTGGAGCGCCTTCGTCGACCCAGCAGTGGTACGTAATCTTGGATGCGAATACCCACAATGCCCAGACTTTGCCCGGCTAACAATGCCGACTTCCAGATTCTGACCATTCTCATCCTCAACGCCGTCGTCGGTGTCTCACAAGAGAGCAGCGCCGAGAAAGCCATCGCCGCCCTGCAGGAGTACTCTGCCAACTCTGCCAACGTCATCCGTAACGGCCAAGTCTCCCGTGTCAAGGCTGAGGAACTCGTCCCCGGTGATATCGTCTCCGTCCACATTGGTGATCGCATTCCTGCCGACTGCCGCATTATCGCCATCGAGAGCAACAGCTTCAACGTCGACCAGGCTATCTTGACTGGAGAGAGTGAGAGTGTTGGCAAGGACTGCGATCATGTTGTCAAGGATGAGAGGGCTGTGTTGCAAGACCAGACCAACATGCTGTTCTCCGGAACCACTGTTGTTACTGGTCGCGCAAAGGCTGTCGTTGTCTTGACTGGATCTCAAACTGCTATTGGCGACATCCACGAGAGCATCACCGCCCAGATCTCCGAGCCCACTCCTCTCAAGCAGAAGCTCAACGACTTCGGCGACAGCCTCGCAAAGGTCATCACGGTCATTTGCATCCTTGTCTGGCTCATCAACATCCCTCACTTTAGCGACCCCAGCCACGGATCCTTCACCAAGGGTGCCATCTACTACTTGAAGATCGCCGTCTCTCTCGGTGTTGCCGCTATCCCCGAAGGTCTCGCCGTTGTCATCACTACCTGCTTGGCTCTTGGAACTCGCAAGATGGCCGCAAAGAACGCCGTGGTCAGAAGCTTGCCGTCCGTTGAGACCCTTGGAAGCTGCAGCGTCATCTGCTCCGACAAGACTGGTACCCTCACCACCAACCAGATGAGTGTGAGCAAGCTTGTCTACATCAGCGAGAACGGATCAGACCTTGTTGAGCACGATGTTGAAGGCACCACATTTGCCCCCAAGGGCTCTATCTCTCTCAGAGGCCAGACGGTTACCGATCTTACGCGCTCTTCTGCCACTGTCCGCCAGATGACTGAGGTTGCTGCCGTCTGCAACGATTCCAAGCTCGCCTATGATGCGGCCAAGGGCAACTTCTCCAACGTCGGCGAGCCAACTGAGGGCGCTCTGAGAGTTCTTGTTGAGAAGCTTGGACCGTGTGCGCCTTCCAACAGCAACCCCGAGGACTGTCTCCACTATGCCAGCTCTCAGTATGAGAGCCAGTTCCCCCGTCTGTCTACCTACGAATTCTCTAGAGATCGCAAGAGCATGTCCGTCCTTGTTCAGAACGGCCAAGAGAAGAAGCTCCTGGTCAAGGGTGCCCCTGAGTCTGTCCTTGAACGCTGCACTCACACCCTTGTTGGAGCCAACGGAAAGCGCCAGCCTTTGAACAGCAAGCTCGCCGATTTGATCGCCAAGGAAGTTGTTGACTATGGTAACCGTGGTCTCCGTGTTATTGCCCTTGCCAGCGTCGACAACATTGGTGAGAACCCCGCCTTGAAGTCAGCCAAGTCTACCGCGCAGTACGCCCAAATCGAGCAGAACATGACCTTCCTTGGATTGGTTGGTATGCTTGATCCTCCTCGCCCGGAAGTTGCGGCTTCTATCCGCCACTGCAAGAACGCTGGAATTCGTGTCATCGTCATCACTGGAGACAACCGCAACACCGCAGAGAGCATTTGCCGACAGATTGGTGTCTTTGGCGAGTATGAAGACCTCAATGGCAAGAGTTTCACTGGCAGGGAGTTTGAGAACCTGAGCGAAAGCGAGGCAAACGAAGCCGCCAGAAACGCTTCCCTCTTCTCCCGTGTCGAGCCCAGCCACAAGTCCAAGCTTGTCGACCTTCTCCAGCAACAGGGAGAGGTCGTCGCCATGACTGGCGATGGTGTCAACGATGCTCCTGCTCTCAAGAAGGCTGATATCGGTGTCGCCATGGGCTCTGGTACTGATGTCTCCAAGCTCGCCGCCGATATGGTTCTCGCCGATGATAACTTTGCTACCATTGAGGTTGCTATTGAGGAGGGTCGTTCCATCTACAACAACACCCAGCAGTTCATCCGCTACCTGATTTCCTCCAACATTGGAGAGGTTGTCTCCATCTTCCTCACTGCCGCTCTCGGTATGCCGGAGGCCTTGATTCCTGTTCAGCTTCTCTGGGTCAACTTGGTCACCGACGGTCTTCCCGCCACCGCGCTCTCTTTCAACCCCCCTGACCACGACATTATGAAGCGCCAGCCCAGAAAGCGTGACGAGCCCCTCATCGGCGGTTGGTTGTTCTTCCGCTACCTGGTCATCGGCACCTACGTCGGTGTTGCGACTGTTGCTGGCTATGCTTGGTGGTTCATGTACAACCCCGAGGGTCCTCAGATCAGCTTCTACCACCTCTCCCGTTTCCACCGCTGCTCTGCAGACTTCCCCGAGATCGGATGCCAGATGTTCTCCAACAGCTCCGCCAAGTCCGCCTCGACCGTGTCGCTCTCCATTCTGGTCGTCATCGAGATGTTCAACGCCATGAACGCGCTGTCCTCGAGCGAGTCTCTGCTGTCGCTGCCTCTCTGGGCCAACATGAAGCTTGTCTACGCCATCACCCTCTCGATGGCTCTTCACTTCGCCCTCCTCTACACTCCTTTCCTCCAGAACCTGTTCTCCATCCTTCCCTTGAACTGGTTGGAGTGGAAGGCGGTCTTGTACATCAGCGCCCCTGTTATGTAAGTATACTCCCCATTCTTGCTCGCTCGTGTACTGTTGCTGACTCTGTGTTTTAGTCTCATTGATGAGGTTCTCAAGGCTGTTGAGAGATCATACTTCAGTCAGACGAAGGCGATCAAGTCTACCAAGGCAAAGAAGGAGAATTAGATGGTTAGAGGCCAGCGCAAGCTAGACCATAGATCGCTTGTACCATAGTAGTAGCCCTGGCAACATTGCACAGAGCTGTACATAGACCATAGCAGCCAACGTCCAGACATAAAAGTCACACAAATAAGGACGTAAATCAAGGTCATTTGTCTAGTTCATGCAGGCTTCGGTAGCCATCTCATAGTGGATCACGTCCATCTATTGGTACAAGCTAGGTAGAAACCGTCCACTTGTAGCGGTTCTATCAAGTTTTCTCTTCCCCAACACCGAATTCCTCCGCGAGAATTAGTCTTGTCTGCCCTTGAGCAGTCTCTTCGTGACCTTGTCCTTCTCAATAATGTACACGTGCGCTCCCCATCCGGATAGTGCATCTCGGTCAACAGCGTTCAAGAGCGACTGGGAGATGGTTTCGAAGAGCTCATCGGGACCCTGCGTGACGTTCTACGTTAGTTTCTGCTAGCCTGCTTGGGTGATAGATTTGCCATGTGTCACGTACCAGATCCGGCTCCCATAAGCTCTCGCACATGCCGAAGAGCTGTTCAGACGCCGTACCAGATACGATGAAGTCCTTGGCGAAGTCGATGCAGCCGATGCTGTCGAAGCCGCAGATAAAGGGCTTGCCCGTCTTGGGGTCGAGGCCGGCCACGACGGGGGAGACAAAGTAGGGGCCGAAGCGGCGCTCGTAGAGGGAGGAGCTGACGAGGTTGGCGAAGGTGGTCGGGGCGATGTTGCGCTCCTCGCGGAGGCGGTACATGTTGACCTTGTAGCGGAAGAGGTCGCCGACGGTCGTGACGTCGGTGGCGAGGCCGGTGAGGCCGAGGAAGACGTCGCCGTACTGGAAGATTTTGGGGAAGTTGTTGGAGACGGTGAGGGCTTGGAGGCCGAGGCGGAGATCGCAGGCTATTGCGACGCAGTCCTTGCCGACCATTGCGACGCAGGCACCGCCATCTGTGGGGGGAGAGAGTTAGGAATTGGACTTCGATATAGAGGCAAAAGGACCTAGAGGATTAAGAGGAAGACGAACTGATGGAGAAGGGAGAGCTCTGGACTTTTGGTTAGCTGGAGGGGGTTTCCTTTTGCACCTCGAGGCTGAGGAGGGGAGGGGGAATGACGAGCGTACCATTTCGGGCTCCTAAAGCGAGTGACCGCTGGGTTCTCGGATGATTTGGAGGATTCTCAAAGTCGTTTTGTCGGCCGTGATTACTTCGTGATGGATCGTAGGGTTGGCCGTGTGGTGGTGCGTCGTGGGGTCGTCGTCGTTGATGGGGAGTGCTTCGTTTGGAGGTGGTTGTAGCTGCAATTGACGTTGAACCGATGCGGAATGCTGAGGTGTAGCGCTACCTGCCTGCTCTTGCTGGGTGCTTGGGTGCTACTGCAGGGCAAGGCAAACACGCATGGCGCGGCCGAAGCGGTCGGAAAATCCACGTACAGCAGGCCGGAGCTCGCTGATTGGCCTGAGCTTGGCTAGAGCAGCTTTCAGCGTGGTGGTCCTTGATGATGCACGTCCCACTTCCCCTCCCCGGCCAGGGCCCGGCTCCCGTCGCCTCTGCTGACGGAGCACCCTGACTGCCTACCTCCCAGCCTTACGTACCTCCCTTACCTGTACTTTCGTAGGACCTGTTGAACGACTCCGAGTACCTAAGAAACGACTGTTTGCCGTCTACAGTTTCTTGTTTCTAGTATTATCTATACAATAAGTGTTACGTACGGCCGACTAGCCAGGCTCAGTATTCGTACACACATTCACTTATCCTGGACACCTGGCCGGGCTGGGCTTTATGTCATTGTGTTTCGTCGTCCTTCCGCCAACTTCTACCTAACTAATACACTACCTGAGCTTGACGCAACGCCGCCCCCCCGCCGAGACTCGAACCCCGCCAACAACATATTGAACACGATACCCCAGATCAGATACCAATCCTGACCAAACAACCACTTCTTTGCGACTGATTCCCTTTTTTGTTGGAAGAAAAGGAAACTGCATTTTTGCCCACGGCATTTCTCACTCGCTAAGATGTCGCACGTGGTGGTCATCGGCACGGATTTGCGGAGAGCTACCGTCAAGGTCAGCCCAGGCACCTACATGACAGATGTTCTCCAAGAGGCATGCAAGAAGCTCAACGTCTCGAGTGACAAATACCTCTTGAAGTACCTTACTCGTCCAGGCCTTGCTCCATCGCATTAGGCTAATCGTTTGGTAGGCACAAGCAGAAGACAGTCGACCTCTCCGTGGTCTGGCGAGTGAGCGGCCTCACCCCCGGCGCCAAACTCGAGCTCGTCCAGAAATCCAAAACACCATCGGCCGTCTCCGTCGCACTTCAGTTGCCGATGCCCGAAGCCAACTCGGCACCTAACGGTCGTTTAATCGAGAAGCTACCCAGCGACTTTACGATATGGAAGGTACTGCGTCAGTTTGAGAGCGGCGTCGCTGGGAATGGAAAGAACTTCAACATCACAGCGCGGGGCATCGCGCAAACAACAAGCGGAGGCGCGAGCGGAAGCGGCCAGATGTACTATGAAACGCCAGTCCTGAACATTATGGGCCGGGACCTTTCCACGTTTGAGGACTTTCAGAAGACACTGTCGCAACTGGGATACAACTCGGGCAGCGTTCTGATTCGCTTGTCGTTCAAGAAAACGGATCGCATGCTGATCCAAGCTATGGAGGAAATAAGTCAATTCTTTTCTGAGGTTGAGGCAGAGGAGAAGAAAGCGGCCCCAACTCCAGCTCCGGCGCCCGCTACCGAGGGAACAGAGTCCACGGCAGTGGAAAGTGCAGCCGAGATGCCAAAGGGTACAACTGCCGAGCAGACAGGTGACATCCCAGCGCAAGACGAAGCAAGTCAGGAGGCGCCGGTAGCGGATGCCATGGATGTTGATCGAGCAGAGCCGACAGACCCTTTGCAACCTGTCAGCATCTTCCGGGCCCCAAGCGGAACGACTCCTGCGGCAGCCCTTGCAGATGTGCCAGAGGATGACTACGCCCCGACAATTGCTCACGCTCAGCTTCATCAGGCTCGACTCCAGCAGAGCGCAGTCAACAAGAGACTCCCTTCAGACAAGGAGCTGGAGGCGCAAAGACAGGCGGAAGAAGCCCGTCTAGCAGCTGTTACCACAGTTCCGATGAAGGTGCGGTTTCCGGACAACACATCAGCGCAGTGGACATTCGGCCATGAAGCTACTGGTGCAACCCTCTACCAGGGCGTGAGATCTGTCATGGCCCACAATACCCAGCCCTTCAAGCTGGCCATATCTGGCAGCAAGGTAATCATCAAGGATGACGAAAGCGCAAAGAACCGCTTGATCCACGACTACAAGCTCACGCGTAGTGTCTTACTGAATTTGGTCTGGGACGACAGCGTGCCAGTAGATATCCGCAAGAAGCCCTTCCTCAAGGGCAGCTTCGCTCAAAAGGCCCAGGATGTCACAATTCCTGACATTCCCAAAGGCGATGACACGAATGAGGGGCAGGCTGTTGCTTCGTCGTCGAAACCTGAGAAGAGGGAGGGCAGTGGGGATGGTATCGTTGCGAAGAAACTTCCCAAGTGGCTCAAGTTGCCTGGAAAGAAATAGACTGAGCATCTCTTGTACAATGTTGCAGTACTCGGCCACTTTCACACGGCGAGCATATTCATGGATTGGAGTTTCATGGGGCATAAGGTAAACCAGATAGAATATGGCCAAGTCGGCAATCAAAGAGCTCACGAAAGTATACCATCACGTCTAGGCAAGTGAAATACGGGCAAGGCCAAAGTGAATAGTCTGAGGTAGCAATGGGGTGTGCTTGAAATTTTGGTATTTGTCGTGAAGGCATCATCATTCCATGATGACACGGGGGAGTGTTTCCGTTAATTTGTTTTTAGAAATAGACCACAAACTTTTTCATGCTGTGACCACGCCCTTGACCCATATAAACCCAGTAGTTTGCCAGTCCAACACAACAACCCCGTTGCGCCCCATTTTGGTTTTGTCAACGACTTCTCTCGATGGGAAATCGTTTAGTGACCGACACGGCGGGACTCGGCGATGACGCGGGTCATTTCCTCGACCTTTCTCTTGGCGCGGCCGAAGGTGCCGAGCCTCTTCTTGGCGAGCTTACGGGCACGCTTGTCCTTGGAGTTGCGGAGCAACTCAATGACGCGGCGCTCGTAGGGGGCAAGGCTGTCGAGGGAGGAGTATGGTTAGCACCCAGAGTTGATGCGCAGTGTACGACACTTCGTGATGGTGTGAATTGGAACTTACCCGGAGACTTCCTTGACGACGTCACGGACGAAAGCGGTGCGCTTGCTCAGGTGGCCCTTGGTGCGGGAGACACGGGGCTTGACGACACGAGCGGTGGTCTTCTATATTTCCGAAACAATCACGACCGGTCAGCGTCCATCTTCTGCAAATGAGGTCCCCTCGTGGAGAGAGGTGTTGTGCAGAGATCCTCCACGAGGTGAGACGAAGCGGGTGTGGGGGGAAAAGGGGGCATTGCCGCCGATTTCCTTTCCTGATAGAATAGCCGATCCTTCTGTGTGTTCATCTTTCAATGTGTGTATCCATCTTCGAATCGTATTTCCATATCGATGTTCGAAAATTTCGTTTCGCAGAATTGTCGAGGGGCTTTTCTCTCAGGTCGGGACGGCGGCAATGATGATTGCGGTGGTGGTAATGGTTCGACATACGTGTCCTTTGTTGAGACCGGTGATGAGACCGGTCTTGACGGGCGCTTCCTTGGCCATCTTGAATGCTGGATGACGATGGGTTGTCGGGTTAGTATTGTCGTGATGGTCGGAGGGGGGAAGAGCCAAAAAGACGTCGACCGAAAAAAAAAAGTTGCAATGGTGGATTGGGAATTTCGGCGGGTGGGTTTGTGCGGTCACGTGCTTTGGGGTTTATCAAAGGCTGCATGTCGTTGGATTAGGTTTAATGGGGCTTCCCGGGTAGTGGAGACTTTGACAGGAGCTGGTTGGATTATGTCCTATGGGCTCTGATTGGCTCGTACTCCCAGAGAACGAAATGCCCGAATGCGCTGTCTACATATTCCGGATATGTCTGATGACCTGGTCCCATTGCAATGCCTCAATTCCGCATCCTCATACTATTAGTATGAAGCAGGGCCATTTCCTTACGCAAAGACATGACTGGTAGTCTTGAGGGAAACGACGTCTATGCAATGGACGAGACAACTTTTCAGGCAGATACCGGTGCTCACCTTGGGAATAGAGGCATCAGCAATGATTTGGCGGTTGTTTCTTTCTTCCACTTCGCCGACTTTCCCACACGACCAGCTCGCCGTGTATCCGTACGGTTTTGAAACCGGAGGTTACTATGCGTGTATGCCTAGGCCGTGTCTACGTGACTTGACTCGTCCATGGCATGCATCTCGTATCTGTACCTGAGCTCAGCCAACACGAGCCAGAGAGAAGTTGAGAACAGACGCAAGGCAGGCCCAGTACCTAATGTTGTTTCTTCTTTACTTCTTTGAACGGCCCGGCCAAGCCAGCCAGCCAAAGTGTCCACTCTGACAGCAGAGCCGCGCATCGGGATCGTCCGTCCAAGCTTGCCCGTTTACTTCGTCACTTGGTTGTCCCCTTACAGGATGGTGCCATGATCTTAGTCCCTCCAATTCCAGGTCCCTCATGCGCTGGAGCCATACCCGTACCATACTTGAGACTCTGGAGCCCCAGCCCCCTGAGCACAGCCTCTCGTACGTCCCTTGATAGAATAGTGCCGTCCACCCGCCTCAACAGCATTCGGAAAACCAAGGGTAGTGGGGCAGAGATCTACGTTTACCCAAGTGCCAACTTAGCCGTCGTATGGCGTCCGCTTCCAAGAAAGGGGGGATCTCAGATGTGATCAACAGCCCAGGCGTGGACCAGCGCAGGATGCCATGCTGGGAAACATGAAACATGCAGTGGCCAATCAGATCCAACATTTCCCCTGAATAAGGACCAAAATTCCCAGCCGACGAGCATCAACCTTCCACGCAGCACCGCTACTACTGCTACCATTCGTATATGCTACGTATGGCCAATCGTAAGTCCTGCACTAAAGCAACCTAGAAGTCCATCTTTAATGGCGGGCTGGGAATGTTTTTTCTCCCCTAATATGGAGCTAGGAGGCCACCTGCTTGGACCTCAGCCATCCCATTAAACGCGGGCGGGCCGGACGATTACATCAGGATCTGCGTATTGTTCTCGCCCTCCATGAAAGTTTAGCCATGCACCATGTCATCGTAGTCACTCCTGAAGAGCGTTTTCCTGCAAGGAACGGCATAGCGATCTTCTTTGTAGGTCTATGATTCTGTGCTTAAATCGGGTCTTGTAAGTAAAGGTCCAGTTGGGAGGCAGCTGCCTGCAAGACTAATAGATCAGCATAGTCCTTGAATTCTGATCATCCCATCTTTTCCGTCTTTCCATCTTCTCCTCAGTTCTTCGCACGCTTCATCCTCCTACCTTGGCACACTTTATCCAAAAGTCTATACCTACAATCCTTGATCATACCTACCACCATCGTAAATCAGAATACAGTCAAGTCATGAAGCTGTCACTACTCGTCATCGCCGCCCCCGCGGCACAAGCTGCGGTCTCATACATGTCAACTGTTCCCGACACGCTTATGGCCATGGTCGAGTCATCAGAAGACTGCAACCTACCCGACGACTTCCAAATTCAAAACTTTGCCGCCGAGTCAGCGGATGGCAAGACGACGGACTCGCTCGGCTTTACGTTTAACGACGACAGCACCGTCCTCAACACGCAATGCCACCTCAACGCCTCATCAGTGCCGGTGCCTGGTGACGGCCGGACACCGAGGTACGCTTGCGACAACGCTAGTGTGCAGTTCATCTGGCTGAATGGCACAATTACCGTCATCGAGAAGATTTGCCCTGGTGACGACGGGTAGGTCAACTGATTTCATTCACACGTAGAGCTGTGACGAGAATCCACGTAAAAATTGCTGACACATTTCGCGCAGTGCCGCCGACTACGAGGCGTCCGGGACGGCTGCGGTCCCGTTGGTATGCGACGGAGGTGCCGCGAATGGGACGGGCAACGCCGCCAGGTCGCACAGGCGTACAAGGAGGGCCGCCGTTGCATGCCAGTCTAACTCGGACGACATCCGATCGAGATTCTTCAGCATCCAGCCGGTTGGTTGAGAGGGCGGGGGAGGATAATCATGGGATGAACGTAAAAAAGCAAACAAGAAAAGACACAACAGCACTGTTCATGGATGATGAAACAGACATGAGTGAACGCACGCTGAGAGGTTGTTGGGTTACGGTTACAGATGTAGGCCCGAAACAGAACCTTTCCTGATGAGAGGAAAAGCAAAATGGAAATTATTCGTAATGAAGGCACGAGAACTACCAAATAGAACAATCAATAGACCTAGGCTTCCGCCCACTTTTCGCATGAGATGATCGGAATTGAAGTCACCCACCCACACTTCTCCTCAACACTCAGGTCCCAAATGGTCAGCAGGACTTCCAAGAGGGTGAGAAGACCCGCCCCCTTGACAGCTTTTCGCGGGGCATGACAGCCCGATCCTAGGTCCTTCCCCGGCAGCCACAGGGGAAGAGGGGCCTAGAGGGCCACCCAGGACCAACCGTTTGTCGGCAAGCGTCGCTTGGCCGCGCCTCTCCGCATTTTGCATGGAAGGCACTCCGTGCTTAGCACCTTCTTCACTGCCGCTTCCTTCAATTCGCTCTCTGCATGGCGGAATGACCTCACCACGCTCACCCTCACGAGATCAGCCCTGAGACGTCGGTATCCCGTCCAATTCTCTCTCCTCTTTCCATCCCCCTTCACAATTACCCCATACGAATACATCGTTGACCACACGCACCACTCGCCTCCATCTCAACAAAATACCTAATTTAGCAGGAGCCTGCACGGGTGCAATCGTCATCATGCGCTTTTGAAGGGTCAGGCTTTGAGGCTTTCCCTGCCGTTAAACGTGGTACATCGTCGCAATCGTCACAATCACAATCCAATCTCTCAACAATCCTCTTCCCAACGTCGCTGTATCTTCTAATAATCCTGCTCGCCTCTCCTGCTACATCTGGACGATTACCCTGCATTAAGTAAACAGAACGATTCTTCTGCGCAATGTCTTTCAGCCTGCGCGATCAATCATAGCCTACAATTCCGAAGGGACTAAGACGAGATTGCGAAACCGACCAGAGAAGAATGCTCCCTCCGATGCGACATCTCCTCTATCTCCTCCAGCTTGCGCCACTGGTTGGCCTAGCTTCAGCGACACCGTTCGACACCGCGCAGCCGCAGCCGCAGCAGCAACCCTTGCTATCGAGCAACGACACCAAGCACGCCGCACCCTCGCTGCCCGTCTCCGTCGAGCTTTTCCGATCCCTCGAGCGCACGTCGCGCATTGTCGACATCACCTACTGTGTCGGCACCTCAGGGATATCGCAGCCCTTTTCGTGTGTCTCGCGCTGCAAGGAATTTCCATCCTTTACACTCGTCTCGACCTGGAACACGGGCGTCCTGCTTAGCGACAGCTGCGGCTACATTGCCGTCGACCACGGCGTTCGCAGGCCCGGCGACGAGGACAGGTTCAATGGCAAGGTCGGAGAGAAGGCCATCATTATCGCCTTCCGTGGCACCTACAGTATTTCCAATACGATTATCGACTTGAGCACCATTCCGCAGGAATATGTGCCGTACCCATCTCCCGATGAAGGTGGCGAGGCACCCAAGGAGCCCCAACGCAAGTGCAAAGAATGCAGTGTCCATATGGGTTTCCTGACGTCGTGGCGCCAGGCGCGGAGGCTGGTCATCCCAGAAGTGAAGAAGCTGAGGGAGCAATACCCAGACTATGCCATTCACCTGGTCGGTCACAGTCTCGGTGGCGCTGTCGCCATGCTCGCGTCTCTCGAGCTCAAGGTCTCCTTTGGCTGGGACAATGTCAAAGTCACGACCTTTGGCGAGCCCAAGGTTGGCAACCAGGGCCTTGTAGACTATGTCGACGAGGTCTTTGGGTTGAGGGACGAAAAGGACGAGGACGTTTCGAAGCGGACCTACCGTCGCGTGACTCACGCCGACGACCCTGTGCCGCTGCTTCCGCTTACAGAGTGGGGATACAAGCCTCACGCCGGCGAGTTCTATATCGCCAAGGCTGAGCTATCTCCGTCTCTCGAGGACGTCGTGGCTTGTCGCGGCGACAGCGACGCGGGCTGTATCACCAAAGAAGACGATAGCTTCTTCGGGGCCAGGGTGAAGGACTTTGTCGAAGTTGCTACAAAGTCGACGGTGGCGCCGCCAGAGGGACTCGTCGAAGAGGCCCTCGTCGAAGAGGCCAACAGGTGGATCAAGAGGCTGCCAGGCTTCTCGGCTCGGCTGAAGCTTTGGCAGCTGCTCTTCGCGCACCGGGACTATTTTTGGAGACTCGGGCTGTGTATGCCCGGAGGCGACCCGGCGAATTGGGGGAGAGAGAAGTACGGAGGCGGCCATGATAGTTTACTGTCAGAAGAACTGTGAGCCCCGGTTCGATTTGCTAGCTGTCGTGTAATAGGTGTATATATATATATATATAGTTATATATATATGTGATAGTATGGGTACGAGTATGGGTTTGGCTTAATGAGTTTCGAAAAGCTGCGGTTTGTATAGCGCTTAAATGGAATGGCGGGCGTTCTCTTTCTGGTTACGGTTTCTCAGTACCTTGGACGTACCTTACCTAGCTTCAGACAGAATGAACGGGAAAGTCAAAAATATCACAATACCAAACATTGCTTTACGCTGAGCAACTCTCGACTAATGTGATTGAGTCGTGGCACACCAGTAAAGTCTAAGTCGCTCGCCGGCCGCCTTCACCTCCCTCACGAATCAGCATCAGCCACGGAGCTATCTATGACAACTTATACAAAGTCATTACTCGGTTTGCGTTCCATTGAGGGGATGATATCAGTTTGCCGTTTGTCACGCCATCAAAATCAAGGGACAAACACAACGAGCTTGCTGATTTTATATCTGCCATTACCGAATATCTGTCTTATACGTCGAGGAAGACTTATTGCTTGTTCAGGACATGCCGTTCTGATGATTATATTCAAGGAGGGCTTCGGTCGTTGATGTAAAAGCCGCTCGCCGTGACTAGAGAGAAGATCATGCGGACGCCGGGAACAGCCCGGGTTGAGTGGATATCGCTTCGTTGGATCCCGAGTTTGGCTTGAGGCTTGTTGGCTCGAAGTGCTTACTTAAACCTCGCGGGTATCGGCTCCCCTTCCAGTCCATACTAGTTCCCACACTTCCCACATTTCCCACTGTTCAGTGTTCGTTTGCTGACAGTTGTGGGTTCCCGGATTTTCCATGACCAGGTTGGCTTGCCCTTCACATGAATTTCGTCCGCACCTCCGGGTTCGAGCATTCATGTCATTGTCACTTGGAAGGGGTCGAGAAAAAGAAGGGAAGGGATACCAGGGCGAGAGATGAGGGGTAAAACGGGAAGCAGCTGCGCCAGCGAGGAGCATGGCTCGCAATAGGGGCCGTGGCATAACTTAACGCCAACGGGTAAAGAAGCTGGGCCATGGTCGAAATCGCGTACGGATACTGGGGATCGCGGAATATTTCTTGAGAGAAAGCTGCAGCCTGCAAGTGCTGCCACGCCCACCGCGGCACCGCCCAGAGGGTGCCACGCGATAAGGCGGCGACCAAGGGCCTGTCGCATGCGACACGCCTGTTCGACCCGACTGCATGGAGGATCCCCCCATGGGCTGTGCTGGATGTGAGTCACCCGAAAGCTACCTATGATGGCCTCGAGTTGGTGGGGTGGCAGTGGTTGGCTTCGAAGTTGGGACGAGAAGGGCGGCCAAGAGATTGGAGATCAGAAATCAGAGTGTGACACTTATCTGGGTTCGGCCATAGAGAGTCTGCTTCGTCTCGCAGCCCGAGTTGAGTTGACGTGAGTTTGCTGTACGAAGTAGGTATTCGTACATAATGATGATGGCGCGGGAGCCTTTGACGTTTCACTCTCATGACCTCTGAGCCTGCGAGGAGACAAGCCGGGGATGACGGATGGCACGCTGATCCAACGGGGGATCATCCCTTGGGTTGAAAGTTGAAACCGGTTTCTTTGGGGTTTAAGTTAGAAAGATACGACAGCAGATTGATGAACGATCGGACATTTTGCAGATTGGGCGTAAGCGGGTGGGCAAGGTAGTTTCGTGCATGACACAGCACAACGCTCTCGACAAGCATGTGCGCGAGCGCAACAACGACGCAGGGAGAGCCACCGATGGAGCATCTAGCAGTAACGGGCACCAATACCTAGATGAATATCGAACTGAGAAGAGACCGTCGTGGTCAGGCGGCAATGTAAGCCGGATGGGATTGTGGCTTAGTCGACCGGGTGGCTGCTGTTCTCGGCATTGAGGCGCCGGGTTCTACGAGGAAAGCAGACTGTACGAGACCGTGACCGACAGCGATTGGCCCGAGGGCAAATCGCGTAAGACATGGAAAAGCAGAAGTCGATGTCGACAGCTACAATGTCGTCGTAGGATTTCGGCTCGCCGTTCCAATTCCCAATTTCCAGGGCACAATCTGAGTCCAGTGGGTTAGTGTCTAGGGTCTTTTGACGCTCGCAATAACGCTTATGGCCTCTTCATTTGGTGTGGTAGACAATTTCCCTCATTTAACCACAGGATATCCAGTTTAGCTTAGCAATCGGATGATAGATTTTGAAGAACAAAAATCTGGGTAAGATAGAAGATGTAGTTAGGGGCGACTCACGAGCCTGGTATGGACAATGTGAGTTTGAGACAACATGGGATGGCATTTGATGCCCGTCTTCGAGCATTTCGGCGAGATGAGGTAAGCCACCCAATCCGGATGGGGTTCTGGAACGGTATCCGTACACGAGTGCCTGTCAGTAGCTAGCCACGAGATATTGCTGGCTTATATCGTCAGGCCCAATGGCATTGGACGCCGGTGATACGTCGAATTGTGTTGCTGTACTAGAAGTTACGCCATTCTCGTGCTGGGTATCCCTATGGGTAGAGCAAGCGACAACAAGTTGAAGTGAAGTGGATGCGACAAAAGATGAGAGGTGAGGTGAGGGGAGTGGGTTGGTCTTTGATGGAGAGACTGCAGGGTGTGAGGTGAGGCAAGGGCCAGCGGACTCTATCACGTGTGGATGTGCTTGGAACGGGAGAGAATCACGGTATCACCAGAGGGAAAGAATCACGAGACTGCAAAAAAAAAAAAAAAAAAAAAAAAAAGCAGTTGTGGTCAGGGAAGGAGATATGTACATGGTGGGCGTGTCGCAAAAGCAGGAGCGGGGAAATGCATGGAGAGGGTGGGGCTAGCCCCGAAAACCAAATCAGCCAGTCAGCAGCCAGTATTTAGGATGTTGCTGTGCTTGTGTTATGCTGTGCTGTGCTGAGCTGGCCATCCGTCCACCACACGCGCAGCATCTGGAGGCTGGAGCTCGCATTGAACAAGCCAAAAAGCAAATGACCTTCACCAGAGTTATCTGAGTGACCTGAACCCTCCCCCGAGTTCCCCCCCTTCTCACGGACTCATTTGCCAGGTCGTTTCTTCTTCTTCTGATTCATCCTCTTCTCTGTAATTTCCTGGCCTGGAGAGGTCATTGTGGTGCTAATTTCCATCAAGATTCCCATTCCTACCCGGGCGGCCTCAAGATAGCTCTGAAGCTCAAATGGGTAACTGATCCATCCCACCGGTAATTTGGCAAATAGACAACAGCTCGGAAAAGACGAGTCCAGACTCTTTAAATGCTGGTTCCAACTTGGAAGCAAGTAGAATAAACTAACGATGGAAGGAAAGTTGAGGGTATCAGAAAGCAGTTGTTCGCTCGAGTTGCTGTTCAACCGTCAGGTACGGACTCTCGGAGTACTTCTGCGGTACATATCCGGCCCAGGCCAACCGGATGGGCGTCAGTTGTGGACCAGGGAGATACATCATGGGCCTGGTTCTTTGGAGGCGGAATCATGCCTTTGATGTGCTCGGCGGGCAAGCTAATCTCAGGGCCACTCTCCAACAGAAATGAGGACCTCACCACATGCAAATGTAATCTGGGTTGACTTTCCCGTCCGTCTCTTGTCTCTCTGAAGCTCTCCTGTTCACCCTGTTTCCGTGCCTGGCAGCCACTCTGGGGCCCCGGCAGTAAACTATACAAAGGATGCAAAGATGGGTGATGATAGGTAGATAATTAGGGAAACGATAACGCAAGAAGGCATTCACTGCCCTGCCACTGGTCACAGCCCATTCACCAGGTCTTGGTACCTTTGGTTAGGTCGTGTTTCCTCAGCTTTCCGAGGCACGCAAGGCGAAGTATCTTGGGGCCCAAAGTATTGACGATGGAGAGCCTAGCCCAGCCCAGCGCCCCCATTTCTCTTCCCTTCCCGCCAAATGGGAACCCGCCCATGGCCTGGGGGCCCATTTGCCAGAGTCCCCGAGCCCCGAGAGCCTGACCACGTCCATAGGTAATATCCAATTCACTCGATCCGTCCATTCCAATCCAATTCCAGGGTTCCTCTCTCTCTCCCAGCACAGGCCAGCGCAGAAGGGGGCAAGCCGCAAGCAAGCGAGGGGAGGGGAGAAAAGGGAACATAGTGGGGTCGAAGCGGCAGGTGCAGCCAGCAGGCACAGGGCAGGCAAGCTCAGTCGACGAGTTACAGTACAGAGAACGGCGCGGCAATGAGGTACCTACACCGTACCGAGAGAGCAAAGTGGATGAAGATTGAAACTGCCTACCTTATTCATAGATAGGAATTGCATTTTCTGGTGCCATGGATCCCAAAAAATTCATGTACCTTGTCTTGCCGAAAGGAAGTAACATGAGCTGCCCAGCCTCCAGGTGCAAGTAAGGTAAGGTAGGTGGCAGAAATCTAAGCAGCAAAGAAGTGACCCCAACGTGCGCAGGTGGGAAAATCAACAGGTGGAGGGGGTCAATGGGCGGCACCTACCTAAGGCTACCATAGCTGAGGTGAGTAAGGTAGGTAGGTACCTTGGGGTGAAAGACTAGGAGGGAAAGAGCGACCTTGGGACTTGGGACTTGGACCAACCCAATTAAATCTTCACTGGACAGGCCTCGCAACTTCCCTTTGAGATTCCCCCCCTCTCCCAAAATAATTCGTCACACGTAAACACTCCCTCCGCCTTCCCTCCTTCTTCCACCGCACACCTTTTTCCACTCTTCAACAACAAAACAAAGCCGCGTCAACTTTCTCACCACTTCGTTGCACGCCTTTCGCAGTATCCATTTCCGCCTTCTTTAATCTTCTTCCAAACCACCTCAACCTATCCTCATCACCTCAATCCACGAGTTCAACATGTCTGGCGATGTAAGTACCTTTTCCCCCACGCTGCCCAACACAACCTCACCCCAAAACCCCTCCGGAACCCCTCGATCACTCTGCCTGCCTGTGTCACGGCAACGAAGATGCCCATGATGCGATCCTCGATCCACCGCTCTGAATTCCCCTGCCGATGCTATTTTTGCTTCGGTTGGCTTCTCCTAACCCGATGGCCTTCTTCCTCCCCTCTCAAATCACTCATGCCTCCTATCGCCCGCCACGGGAACAAAGTATGCTGACTTGTGCCCCTCTTCTAGCGTGAAAGGTTTGTGCCGAGCCCTCCTCGTCGATGGACTACGTCTCATCAACCACACCTTCTGGCCTCGAGGTCTTTCGCGACCTTTTTTTTTCTTCTTCCTAACTGACCCTTTCCTTCCAGCAAGACCTTCCTCGCTCGCCTTTGCGAGCAGGCCGAGCGCTACGATGAGATGGTTGGCTACATGAAGGAGGTCGCCAAGCTGGGCGGTGAGCTGAGCGTCGATGAGCGCAACCTCCTCAGCGTTGCCTACAAGAACGTCGTCGGTACCCGCCGTGCCTCCTGGCGCATCATCTCCTCCATTGAGCAGAAGGAGGAGAGCAAGGGCACCGACAAGCACGTCGGCACCATCCGCGAGTACCGCACCAAGATCGAGCTCGAGCTTGAGCAGGTCTGCCAGGATGTCCTCGATGTCCTCGACGACAGCCTTATCCCCAACGCCCAGACCGGCGAGTCCAAGGTCTTCTACCACAAGATGTACGTTATCCGGCGCCGCCGCCGCTGCCGGCAATCTTCCTCAATGGCCCAATTTCCGAAACTAACCGTGCCGTTCCGTGATATAGGAAGGGTGACTACCACCGCTACCTCGCTGAGTTCGCCTCTGGCGAGAAGCGCAAGGGTGCCGCTACCGCTGCCCACGATGCTTACAAGGTGAGACTGATCCGGGTTGATTGCTGCCGCCTGAGAGAATATTGAATCTAACAATACGATCCTCTTTAGAGCGCCACCGATGTCGCTCAGACCGAGCTGACCCCCACTCACCCCATCCGCCTTGGCCTGGCCCTCAACTTCTCCGTCTTCTACTACGAGATCCTGAACTCGCCCGACCGTGCCTGCCACCTCGCCAAGCAGGCCTTCGACGATGCTATCGCCGAGCTCGACTCTCTCTCCGAGGAGTCTTACCGCGACAGCACTCTCATCATGCAGCTCCTGCGTGACAACCTCACTCTCTGGACCTCTTCCGACAGCGGCGATGCTGAGGGTGCTGCCGCCGGCACCACCGAGGCTGCTGAGGAGAAGAAGGAGGAGCCTAAGGCCGAGGAGCCCAAGGCCGCCGAGGAGACCCCCGCTGCCTCCTAAATTCTTGTCTTACCCTGATACCACTCCATCTCGGCTCGCGACGAGGCTGAGATGGCTCGTCTGCTCGGCCGTCGGTATGCGCTATATGCGGACCTTCTGGCGGCCTCAGTCTAGCCGCCTAATCGGTGGCTAATATCTGTGACTCCCTCGGAGTCTCGCAGCAAAAGGGGAGGGGTTTTGAGGATTGGACGCGGAGAGAGGAACAATGCGTGGCATGATTTCTATTGGTGTCTTGGATGTCCAACCAGGGTCTGGAACAGCTTCGTTTCTGTTCAGGGATTCTACTTGGCAACTAACTACTGATTCCCCCTCTATATCCGCCTACGCTCAGAATCTCTTCTTTTGTTCTCCTCGATTCCTGCTTTTACCTCTGTGCTGGATGGTTTTACGGCTGTCTCGTGTTCTCTTTTCGGTTTTCCTCATAGTGGTCCTTCAGTTGTCGCGCGTCTTCTCACGGAGAGAAAGTCCTTTTGCCCCCCTCAAATGCCCCCTGTCTATTCAGTCTACAAGACCAAAAAGAAAATAACAAATGTTCATCAATAATTGCGTCCGTCGACATGCTGTGAAATGACACTGGGGTCTTGAAGTCTTGGGTAAAGAATGGATCAAAGACAGCTTGTTCAACAAGTGACACAACTGAGGATGTCATGACTGGCAGCGGGACGGCTGTGAGATGCGACGATGCTGCCATACATATACCCATGACAGGCGTTCGGTACCAAGAAGGCGAGGGAAGCAGTCAGATTGTTTATGAAGAATGAACAAATTGGTATTTCCTAGTATTTCCTGAACATGCCAGGATACAACCATGTATGTAGATAGCACATTTCAAAAACGCCTACCAGCCCACCCAGCCCACCCAGCCACCCCCAGAACTCATCCGTGTTTCCAAGAAACCAAACCCAAAATTATGATATGCGCCTCATGGTATTCGCAACATCCAGACATTTCACCCGCTCATCTTTGCCGGTTCACCAGCTCCTCTCGTACCCCATCGTGTACAAGTATGTTTCTAACGGGCCGCGTTTGTCCTCGCGAGCAGCCTCTCGGCTCTCCTGAGCCTAGCTTGCTTCTCGGCGATCAGCTTCGGCACGTGGCCCCGGCCCTCAGAATCCGCCTCGTCAACGGCGCAGTCAACGTCTTCGGCCTCTGGCTCATCTCCTGCCGCCATCGCTGCCTCTGCCTCGGCGACTAGCGCTGTGTTCGTGGCCGTGGGCCAGCCTGCTAGGATTGCCCGTCGGTACATCTTGGTTGCTTCCTCGACGCCGCGGGGTGGCATGGGTCCGCTTGCCTTGCTCCCGCTGAGCTTGCGGACAAAGTTACGCATGCCGCGGAAGATTGCGTTGTTAGCTGTCTTTGCGCGGAATATGCCCGGGGCGATGTGGCTACCGGGGAGGACCCCGCCGGGTTGCGTGTGGTCGAGGTAGGCGGACGAGGGCTCCAGACCCAAAGCGGACGGGGCGCCGAGACGGGAGCATGTCGGGCAGTAGGTTCCTTGCCCGGGCAAGATGTCGCTACGAGGAAAGGTGAAGGCGTCGCCTGCTCCCGGGGAGGATGCGGAGGATGATGCCGAGGAAGAGGCCGCGGAAAGGGAGATATTTGTTGAGGAGGCGGATGCGGCTGGGGAGGAGGGCGGACATGTGCATAGGGATGCTGAGGCCGCTACCTCTTCGCGCCAGACTTGGATGCGCTGTTGCTTTGAAAGGGTTGGGTTGGACATGTTGGACACTTTTTTTTCTTTTTTTTTCTCTTGGGTCTTAGTCCGGGTCTTTGATATGTTGATATTTGCCGTAGTTGAAGAGTGTGCTTCGATTTATGAGTATGCAGCGGATGTTGGTGGCCGTTTCCTCCTATGAAGTATTGGGTACCCGAGCATCCAGTGGCCGTTCGCAGTTTGTTCGTAACGGGGGTTGAGGGTCTCGGTTGCTAATCCTGGAATGAGGATTATGCTCCAAGCCAAGACCGAAAGCAGAAGTATGTCGGAGGCGTGAGGGTCTTCGAGAAGGTCTGCGCTTTACGTGACAGAAGCCCAAAACATGCGGATGAGAGAAAAATTAGGTGTTGGGCGTTGAGAACGGGTATTGCCAAGGTCCGTCCGTTTTGATGATATCGTCCAGAGGTAAAACAGACAGGAGAAAGTGTAAGATGGGAGGAGAAAAGAGGAGGTTGAAGGAAACGGAGGATATTAGAGTAAAAAAGTTGGTGGCCGTCTAATAATGCGTAGGTAACACGAGACCTGTTCGGGTGTTATGCAAGGCTGTCGCTACTCGGTAGATGGTCTCTAACGTCCCGTTCATGTGCTCTTCCGTCGTGTGTGCAAGGTACACTCCGAATGTGATTAAGTCGGCGCCAACCCCGGATTCGAAGATAAGATGGGTAGTGTATGCGTGTGTCGCATGTGCGTGTGTGCGGGTGCTGGTGTCTGTTTTGTGAGGCAAGTAGGTGTGGCCGTTGACCAGATGACTTGAATCAGGTCGGGGATTGTCGAGATGGGTACAAAGATAGGGAGGTAGAGATAGGGAGGTATCCGTAGACTCGGATTTTTTCCTGTCTCGCTTCTCTAGCTTTTTCAGAACAGCGGCAAACGAGGACAAGAGTGCAGGACGATGGATGAACGAGTCAAGCCTCTTCTTGTCACCCGGTCTTCTCTTTTGGGTGGTAAGCAGGTCTTAGCGGTAGAGTGAACGCCTCCGGGCGTATGAAACAAAAACAAAAAGAGTATTTAAATTGAGAGGTGGTATGTTGAGCGGAGCTTCAAGACAGGTTAGGGATGAGAATAAGAAATGAAATCCCAGTAGCAGCGGCGGTGATGGAAGCACGTTCGGAAGAAGAAAAGATATCAACCGGGACAGCTAGGAGATGTGGTCGACGGCGGTGGGCTTGTGATTATGTTTAGGTAAGGGTGTTTTGGTAATAGAGCCTTGGTATCAAGCTGAGGAGCTTAGGTTGCGTGATGGGAGAACTCGGGAAGCGATATCCGTATGGTCGAGGCCATGCGTCTTAGTAGGTGAGGTGCTTTGCTGCAAAGCGTCTCTTGGACAGGAAACAAAACAAACCACCCCTTGAAGAGGAGCAGCGGCAGCCAGCAACTAGGAAGACGAACGACAAACGGGTAGGAAACAAAGCGGGTGGGGTTCGTTCGTTCGAGGTCGTTCGTCGCGACAAGCGTCCGTCCGTTCGTCTGGCGTTCGGCCCTTGCAAACTAAAAAAGGTCTGGTGGAAGAAGAGAGGGGGGCAGGCAGGGTAAGTTCCGGCAGGTGACTTTGGTATTAGAAACACATACGAACAGGCGAAGCGGCAGTAAGGTAGGGGTTAAGGTAGCACCGATACAATCTGCAGGACAGTTGAGAAAAGCTTGGATGTGTCTGGGAAGAAGGGGTGTGTAGACTGCAGCGTGCTATGCCGGTGGATGGACGATTGGGGTGGGAAGCGGTTTAGGTTGTGAAGAAAGAAAGGAAGAAAGAAACGAACGAACGAGGAAAAAGGAGGGTTAGAAAGATGGGACGGGATGGAGACGAGCCGGACGATGAAGCAGACCGGCTCGTACGCCGCTGGGGGAACGAAAGAGAAAAACAAGACTTGCGCAGTAACCGGTTAGACGACCCCTAGTGGAACAAAAGGGAACGGGGGAAAAGTGCAAGGCAAAGGCAAGTGTCGAGCGTTTCGAAGGGAACCGGTTCTCTCTTGCTTTGCTACCTCTATCAAACTAGGCATGCACGACAATGCCACCAACTGCCTCTACCTGCGTATGGAGGCAATTTGGGTGGGCTTCCCTTGGCGACGTTTGCCTGGTTCGGGCCTCGTCTGCCCCACGATCGGCAGGCCCAGCCCAGGGAAGACTGGCAGTGACAGGGTCGATCGTAGTAGGCCCCTTGTTCTTGTTCTTGTTTATGTTTTTATGCTTGTCAAATCTCTCTGATCGTCTGTTACGCTGTTGGAGTCTTGGAGAGGAGAGTTTCCCGCGTGGGCTATTTGAGTGAGTAACCTACGTAACCCCCGGAAGCGGTTCATGGCGGACAACCGAAATAACGAAGGCGGCGCGGCGCGTGCGGTGACACTTCGTCTTCGTGGTACAAAACCATGGGTGATCTCTCTCTCTCTCTCTCTCGGTTTCTCCCTCCTCCGTCCCCCTCTTCTTCTTCCAGGTCACACAAGTCAAGGGGAAGAGATGGAGAGACAGAGAGCTCGAATATCCCCCCCTCTCCAGTCTCTTGTTTTGACCAGCAACCCCCCTGTTCGCTGCTCGCTGTGGCGCTCGAGGGGCGTGACTTGGACTTGGACTAGGGCGGTGCGTTCATGCTTGGACGGTGCCGCTGTCAGATGTCAATGAACTCCTGAAGCGTACGCACAGAAAGGCGGAGGAGGCTTCGACTTCATCCTTCTAGACCTTGAGAAAGCGGTGTGGTGTCTCAGTCATTACGGACATTGGTATCGTGAGGACTGGACCTCCGTACGGATGTACGGAGTACAGTAGGTAGGCAAACAGTAGACGACTTGCAGCGGGGTGGAAAAGACCATGCATCGGACAGAAATGGGTGTTACAAAAATAAGGGTATCAGCTCTAATCCTTTGCCCCCTGCCAGAGCTGAGCTCCAGGGTCCATCCGTCCAGATTCGGTGAGGCCGCTTTGCGATCAAGGTGAAAACTGAAAGAACGCCCTGGGATTTGCTTGGAATGACGTTGTGATGTGGGTGGCTGTGGTATAGAAGCCGATTGGCGTTCGGGCGTCGTCACCCACTCCCCGGCTCACCCACATCGGCTGGCTTGCTTCTAGATTTACTTACAGCCAGCCTCCTAGGCGGGGCATGAACGGTCAATTCAGTCTCAAAGGTATTGTAGCCTCTTCGCTTCATGACGAACAATGCTGAGCGAAGCGGTGGAAAGCACCAGTGGGTTCGTGGAACACGGCAATTGCATTTTCAAGCCTTCTTGTACGACATTTGCTTTTTTGTATGCTTCACTCCGTCTAATCATCCGCTACAGCGCCATAGCAACATGAG